AATTATATACTAACTTTTTCTTTCCCATCCCGTTAATTGCACCTTGACTGCCTCGGGGGAAGCCAGGAACCCCAACCACTGGGCCATACAGGATATTACACACAGGCTAGTAATAATCTATAAACACAGACTAGAATAATCCATGATCATTTTATTGCCAAAATTTACGAAGTCATCTCAAATAAGAACGCCATAAATTTTTACTTTAAACTTTCGTGACTGCAGGAATTCAAGTAACGTAAATAGAAAACAAAAAATCAAATATATTTTTAAATAAATTAAAAAGAATAAATTTTAAATAATAAAAGTTTTTATTATTTTCAATTAATAATTTTTATTATATTTTCATAATTTGAATTTTATTTTATAATTTAAGTCTCACGTTGTTTCTATTTACGTGACTTTACCGAACGAACTCAAGAATAAGAATGCCACACACGACTTTTTCTCCGTAATCATTGACATCTCGAGATCAATCCAACTTAAAAAACACAATACATTACTTCCCACACCGGGAATTGAACCTTGGCCGCCTGGGTGAAAACCAGGAATCCTAACCACTAGACCATATGGGAGGCTGGGCAAAGTTGCTGGAAATCCATTGGTAGTCGTATGCCATAATATTAACTCGTAAAAAAAAACTTGCAAGGTTATCATGAAATAGTGACGAAACCATGTCTCATCTACCATTACATTCTTCATCGTCACCATCAGCCATGGTCAGTCCACTGCTGGATGAAGGCCTCCCCAAGTTACCAGCGCTCATGATCATGTGATGCAACAATCCGCTCAGCACCTGCACACAAACTGATTTGATGATTTTACAATCATCATCAAAATTATGAAAAAAACAGAACATACCTAACGTTACACACAAGAATTCTAAGAAAAATAATAAATTTTCTATACGAGAAAAAAAACATATTTTGACGCAGCAACGAAACTAAAAATAAGATTGAATTATATACTAACTTTTTCTTTCCCATCCCGTGAATTGCACCTTGACTGCCTAGGGGGAAGCCAGGAACCCCAACCACTGGGCCATACAGGATATTACACACAGGCTAGTAATAATCTATAAACACAGACTAGAATAATCCATGATCATTTTATTGCCAAAATTTACGAAGTCATCTCAAATAAGAACGCCATAAATTTTTACTTTAAACTTTCGTGACTGCAGGAATTCAAGTAACGTAAATAGAAAACAAAAAATCTAATCTATTTTTAAATAAAATAAAAAATAATAAATTTTAAATAATGAAAGTTTTTATTATTTTCAATACGACTTTTTCTCCGGAATCACTGACATCTTGGGATCAATCCAACTTAAAAAAATATACATTAGTTCTCATACCGGGAATTGAACCCTGGCAGCCTGGGGGAAAACCAGGAACACTCACCACTAGACATTGAGAGGCTGCGCACAGAATTCTAAATGCATCGGTAGTCGTATACCATAAGACGAACTAATTTTCTGAACAAACGTGCACAGTCATCATACAATAAGAATGGAAAACATGTCCCCTCCACTGCTGGATGAAGGTCCTCCCGCCAAGCCATCTCCACCTCTCACGGACTCGTGATGCTCACAATTCACCGTATCTCTACCACGCGAGCCGATGTCTCATCGCTCCGTCTCTCTCTCCGGACGAACTCTCGAGCCCGATGTTCCCTTTGGTCGCGCACCCCACCCACCCTTAGTGGCAGCCACTGCCACGTGTGGTTCAGAATAACAAAATCTTTATTGAAACTGGAGGAATCCGATGAGCTACAAAGCTCTTTTTCACACGTCCAGTGGTTAACCACGCGTAACATCTGTTGTGTTTCCCTTTGGTGGTAACGACTGCTTACGTGTTTGTTGATACACGAGGTTAATGTTAACACTCCATCCCCTTCGCCATGGAATGAATTGTCACCATCGATTTCGATTAGAGCTTTGGACATCCAGTGTATGTTTTTTACATTGTGGCAAATGTCGCGGCCTCGAGGGTGGCCGGAGGGTTCACTTGCGACACATTTGTCAAACCACTGATGTATCAGGGACCCCTCCGCACGCCGTGGGAGCATCTGTGGGGGTTATATGACCATGCTTGCCGACGCGCGGGTCAGGGAAAGCGTAGGAATGCAGCGCAACAATGGATTATTGCTCTACCCACCTCTGCTGCCCAGCCTATAAGGAAACCAGGCGCGCATGGCAGTCACCCATCCGAGCACTCAGCAGGCGCAACTCCTGCTTAGCTTCCAAGATCCGACGACAGCGGTGGGGAGGAGGTGGATCACGTGACCGTGTGTCATGCGGCCGTGTGTCATGCGGCCGTGTGTCATGCGGCCGTGTGTCATGCGGCCGTGTGTCATGCGGCCGTGTGTCATGCGGCCGTGTGTCATGCGGCCGTGTGTCATGCGGCCGTGTGTCATGCGGCCGTGTGTCATGCGGCCGTGTGTCATGCGGCCGTGTGTCATGCGGCCGTGTGCATGCGGCCGTGTTCATGCGTCCGTGTGCATGCGTCCGTGTGCATGCGGCCGTGTTCATGCATCCGTGTGCATGCGGCCGTGTTCATGCGGCCGTGTGCATGCGGCCGTGGGTCTAATGACCGTGGCAGAAGAGATCGCGCGCCTTTTCTAACCACAGTTAGATACATATTAGCCAAGAGAGCCTTGCCATCACTCTTAGACCTTCATTGGCCCATCACTGGCAATGTCAGGAGGCGCGGCGAGCGCTGAGTGATTGTGGCAGTAAGGTTGATGTATGCAGGCACTTACATATTTTTCAATTGTCTACGACCACTGGAGCTGAAACAATGTGTTTCGCAGCCAAGAGAATTTGCCAAGGTCACACACAAAGAGACAACGGGGACGAAGAGGCGGACTATTTACAGCCGTGTGTGTCACGCTACTACACACAAGGCTGTTTGTTGGGGGGGGGGGGGGGGGGGGGCGAAATGCTGTTAGCGAGCACCTATTAAGGGCCAGCACGGCACACGACGGTTGGGTGGTGCGGTTGGACCACGGACAGCATCTGTGTCATCGTCATTATCATCAGCAACAGCAGCGTCAGCAGCATCAGCAGAACTCCGGATCGCCGGATTTGTAGCGCAGCGCGCTAACCACTGCGCCACCGCTTCCGATATGCACACACAAAGAAAACTAAGACAAGGATCACCCATATAGCCTAAATAGACTAATGGGGCAAGTGCCGTTAGCGAGCACCTATGAAGGCCGGCACGGCACACGAGAGGGTGGGTGGCCAGCACCACGCCCGGCCACCTTTGTCTCCCCAGTGGCGATGTTTCCACACTGCACCGGTATGCACCGGTTATCATTTGAGGCCGAGTCGACCTAGGGGAGGCCCAGGACCGGTTCAAACTCGGATCGCCGGTTTCGTAGCGCAGCGTGCTAACCACTACACTACCGCTCCCCACTTTGACACACACACGGACACACTTTATGAACCTACACACACTCATTCGAGTGATGAATAATAAATAAATACCAATTATGCATTGTAAACACACGTCCACGTGTTCTCGCAATTAACTCATTAACTCCATTTGCAATCATTGACAACCACGCAAGTCGCTTCCCAGCGTCACGGGGCTGTCAATGCATCATCAAATTAATTACGCAAATTAGTAGCGCAATCCCACTGATTGATTAATCATGGCCGGTAGGCTGAACAACGAGTGAGCCTAATTAATTGGGAATGTTAATTGTACACTACTCTACGTGTGTGTGTGTTTGAAGGGGTTTATAATGATCATATTCTTTGGGTCTTTCGCTAAAGTCACGTAGATAGAACAATAAAATAATAAAAATGAAATTAACGTGAAAAAAATAATACAAATATCACGACGTTTCGATCGCAACACAAGCAATCGTCATATTTTTTTCACCTCGTGACGATTGCTTGTGTTGCGATAGACACGTCGTGATATTTGTATTATTTTTTCACGTTATTTTTATTTTGATAATTGTATTGTTCCGTCTACGTGACTTTACCGAAAGACCCAAAGAATATGAATTCCTGCAGTCACGATTTATAATTATCGTTTACTGGACTCGACATGAAGGTGGTGATGTTGTAAGGAGTTGGGGCCGAAAGTTAAGCGTCACCTCCCCAAAAGGACGGTCTCTCGTCTCAAGTTTACGCCGTTTATTTGCGAGCTCCAGATAGCCGAGTGGGATGTGCACGCCTGGCACACCCCACTCTGTGCGTTCTGCCGTATTATTCAGATTAATAGACGCACTTCCTGGAGAATGTGATCATTCTTAATTTCAACAACAACAAAAAAACACCGCGTTAAGTAGTAGTAATAATACTGCAGCTCTTCGGTTACGTGAAACATTTCGTATAATGCCGAGCCGTTAGGAGCGATTTAATCAGAAAAGTATTCACCCAGAGTCGTAGAGCCCTTTTTGTGATTACTATAATCATCATCTTTGTCAATCATCATTATCATCAGCTGCCGCTGCGATTGCATTAAGTGGCATCATGAGTTGAATCATCAGCAGCATCGATCCTCTACAGCAGCAGCATCACTGCTCTTGTAGCTTTCTGACAGCATCATCCGCAAACAGTGCCAACATCACGATCGCCATGCAGTGCCCTGGCAGCGCAAATGTTCCGAATTCGAACTGGGGTATTTCGCCCTTAGGAGAAGGAGTAGGAGGCGCCGCAGCTTCGAGCACGTGGCGACGCGCAGGTGCGGCGACACGTGTTGTTGGCACCGGGCTAGTTTCCCGACCGCAGAGTTTCCTGCGCGTCCCTCCAGGCGTTCCTATGTATCAGCCGCGCGCGGGTGAATGCCACCCAGGTGTTCCTATGTATCAGCCGCGCGTGGGCGAATGCCACCCAGGTGTGCCTGTGTATAGGCCAGGTGTGATTAAGTGCCAGCCAGGCTCTCAGAAGGCCCATGATTGTTGGGGGTTCGCAACGGGTGTGCGGCTGGTGTCGGCGCCGGCGTGGGCAGGCGAGGGGCAGGTGCGCGATTTGACGCTGGACTCGCATTCGCCACGTTTGCAAGCGAGGCAGACGGGCGGTGTGCTCGCGGGTCGCGGTACAGACGGCGGAACAGACGGAGGTGCCCAGAGAGACACGGGTGAGACTCGTGCTGGCGTGAGGAGTGGAGGCGATGTTATTGAGCAGTGGATCGGTGAACGTTTCTGGGGTGTTGCACATTCGGAGATGACGCATTCGTGTGCGCGGTGGCTGTGTGCGCATTGCGCGCAGGTGAACGGTGCAGGTGCGTCTTGTGCAGGTGTCGGCTCGCAAGGCGACGAAGAGCAGCGGTCAGGCGTGTGGCAGTCGGACGCCAATCTGTCGGGTGCGTGTTACGCAAGTGTCAATATCCCAGGTGTGAGTCGGACAGGTGTGCTTCGGGTAGACATGAATCAACGGGGGGTGACTCGGCCAGGTGCATATTGCTCAGGTGTCACTCGCCCGGATGTCGATCTGACTAGCGTGAGGCGCTGGACAGGTGTGCTGCAGGTAGACCCGAGTCCTCCAGGTGTGACTCGGTCCCGTGAGCCCCACCCGGGCGCTGCGAGTCGTGCAGGTGTGCTGCAGGTAGGGCTTATTCCAAGTACTAGTGGTGGTGATGGCAGTGGTGGTTATGACATTGGTGGTAATGGTAGTAGTGATATTGGTGGTGGTATTGATGGTGGTTATGGTGGTTATGGTAGAAGTGGTATTGATGGTGGTGGTGTTGGTAGTGGTAGCGGTGGTGGTGGTATTGATGGTGGCAATGGTGGTTATGGTAGAAGTGGTATTGATGGTGGTGGTGTTGGTAGTAGTAGCGGTGGTTGTGGTATTGATGGTGGTGGTGTTGGTAGTAGTAGCGGTGGTTGTGGTATTGATGGTGGTGGTATTGGTAGTGGTGGTTGTGGTATTGATGGTGGTGGTGTTGGTAGTGGTGGTTGTGGTATTGATGGTGGTTATGGTAGTAGTGGTATTGACGGTGGTGGTGGTGGTAGCAGTGGGGTGTTGTTGTGTCACGGCGTCAAAGCCCTGGGCGCTGCTGCTGTGAGCCAGGCAGGCACCAGGCGCGTCCCGCCGGCACACCCGGCCAGGGTGATCTACCGTGTGCCGGCGAGCGACGCCTCGCACGGCCTTGCCATTCCACAACGCGCACAGGTAACGGAGCGCCTTCACCCCCCCCCCCCCATCCCCGCCCGCTGTCGCGAAAGTCACCACGATTCTCTCCGCGAGTAGTCCTCCATTCGGAAGCAGCGGTTCGGCAAGGTGGCTCAACGCAAGCGGGCCCTGCTGATGAGGCCACGAACGTGGAAACCGGTCCATGAGGTTGACCTACCGGTGGTTGGAACCAACGTCAATTAAATTACGCACTCCTCAGCAGACGGTGGTGCTGATGGGATGTGTTAAAAGAAAAACTGTTATATTTTTATGTGGAGGCAGAGATATGCGGAGGCATATTTGCCAGCTTAGCTCTTTTGCTGCTTGTTTCCACAACGAGACGAATGATGTTTTTTTTGTGGTGAGCATTATAAACACTCGGTGGTTTCACACGACCTACAGAAACGTGTTAGAAGCACTCAGCCCCTGCGCATTCCGCAAAAAAACAATACAGGACTCTTCTACTTACGAGCATTCGACTTAAGAACTTTCAGAGATACTAACAAACCTGTCCGTATGTCCAGTTTCCTGTTCGGACCGAGAGTCGTAAGTTCAATTGCCGTGCAATAGATGGCGGTGGTGGAAGCATCGACATCTGCAGATCATGAAGAATCAGTGGCATTTACATCTACAGGAGATTATACAACATTTAAAAACATTCCTCGTGTTTAGTGTACACGCCGTACAACGCGTTTGTAATGGACAGGAGTAAATTTGGACTTGGGAACACATCGACTTACGAACAGACCTGATAAACCATTTCGGGTCCTAATTGATTGATCACGCTTAAGGTGGCTTTCAGACCGCATCCATTAATTTTCGTCTCCCCCCTCCTCTTTTCCGAACATGGATGGACTCGTCTATCTGAACAAACTGTCAAATCTCTCTCCGTGGTGCTAACGTTAAAAATAACCGCCACTTTTTTCAAATTTTCTTGTTGTGGTTTTTACACCTGATGATGATTGCTTGTGTTGCAGTCGAAACGTCGTGAGAATTTTATTTTTTATATTTTTATTATTGTATTGTTTCCCTTCTACGTGACTTTACCGAAAGAACCAAGAATATGAATCCCTGCAGTCACGAAAGCTTTAAATCAAAATTTAGACCTCTGGAACCTAACTCGTTCGGAAGTAGAGGAATCCCTGTATCAGCAGTTCCGAAGAACGGAATTCCGGCCCTCTTTCTTGCCTTAGGTGGCCGTCAAAAGACACTGAGAGCAAAATGTGACAACGACCATTGACCAGGCCGATCAGCAGCAGCAGCAGCAGCAGTGATGCCGAGCTGGGTAACTACTGGATCGGGTCCGTCGCCATTGGGGCTCATCAGCACAGTATAGTCTGCTGCAAAGTGTCCTGGAAATCCAAATATGTGGAGTGGCCACTTCCACGCTCTGTGTGGGGGCTCCCGTGCAGCACGTGGCTAACGCCACCACTCATAGTCGCCTCTGTAACTGACCGCACAACCTACCAGCACCCCCATCATCATCTTCATCACAACCACAGCAGCAGCAGCAGACTCAAGCGGGCTTCGCTCTCCGGTAACTTACCCAGTCACTGCTGCCCTCTGCTGGGGATTAAGAGCGGTAACCAATTTTGGTCAGGTCACGGGAGATGTTGCTTTTGATCGCGGGGTGAATTTCAATTGCACAGTAGGCCCTCATTAAGACCACTTATTTCACCGATCTGTTGTGCAATTGAATGAATGCGCGCGCGTGTGTGTATGTATCTTAATTTGTGTGCGCCTATCTCCGACATTTCAGGAGATTAATTCTCGCCGCCTTTCCAGTCCTCCAGGGTCGATCAAATAACGACCACTTTGTGGGGGAAGTTGAAAGGGATCGCGCCCGCCAGAGGAATGTGGAATTTCCACCATCGGCTCAGGGCTGTGAAAGCGGCCACGAGCACCGCCGCTCACCTGAGCAGCAAATCACTTTGACCTCGACTTGACCTGTGTAAAAAAAAAAAAACCCACGGCACGTGCCTTGTGAACGCGTCTGATGCACCAGTGCCCCGTCGCCCCCTGTGCCACGGAGCGGCTGCACGCCGGCTCCCGGGGGAGACGAAGCCCGTGGGGCCCCGTGACCCCTCCGGAACCCGTGACCTCTGCGGACCCAGCGAGACTCCGGCAGTGCTCTCTGGGATCCGCGGTGCCTTCGGAGCCGGGCCTACCCTCGGGGCACCCCTGGCCTGGCCAGCCGGTTGAGGGGCGGCGTTCACTGTGTTGTGTTCGCTGTTTGCGGTCACTTTGCCACGACGGCGACGTTGTCCGCGCGCCGGACTCGCGATCGGTGCGATCTCTGGGGCGCGGCAGTCGAAGCGCAACGGGGCAGGTCGCGTGCGGTGGGGTGAGCCGTGGGTGGCTGCCACCTCTTCCCGAGTCGTTTTAGCCAGCGTGGAAGAGTAGGCCAATAAATATACCCCCCATGGGGGGGGGGGAGGTAGCCGGTCGCTCTCGCCGTGTGCATCTCCTTCCGCAGCGCCGAGGGCCGGGCCACCCCGGCAGCCCGGTGCCCCGGTTGTTCCGCACCCCGGCGCCGGAGCTCTTCTCTGCCGTGCAGCGCAGCGAGCTCCGCGACGGGCCCCTGCCGCGTCTCGCCGCCATCGTCCTCCTCCGCCAGCAGGTCCACCACCATCAGCAGCAGCCGATGCAACAAGAGGGGTCGCCCTGCGTGGTTCTCAAGGAGTCTCAGATTCCAGCTGGGCTCTGCAGGACTCTCACGGGTTCCTCCGTCTCCTCCACCAACTCGCGCTCCTCCCGCTGGAGCCCATCGGCCTCCCCGAGGACAGCGACTGCTGACGTGTTCGCTCGGAGGAGCCACGCGAACGCACGCGAGAGGCTCCGGGTGAGAGGCCATGATGCCCTTAGGTTGACTCAGACTAAAATCGAACTTGGGGCGGGGGGGGGGTGTGACATGGCCCAGGGGGGGGGTGTGACATGGCCCAGCGGTGGCACGTTCGAGATTTTCGGTTCGGATCTGGCAGGCCACGCCAGCGATTACTGCGGCGACGTCACGTGAAACGAGTAGGCCATTGTGGTTCCAGACGCGGCGTGGCCTAAATTGGCGAAATTTGAAACACTGACACTGTACCCATCGCAATTGGGATTGCACTTCGCAGCGACAGTCTCCTTCCCACTGGCCCGACTGCAGGCCAGGTGTCACGTGGTGCTGCACGAGTATAGCTGCCACTGGGGGAGGTGGTGGGTTCCCTTTCAAATGTCTGAGGTGTAAAATGTAAAGTCGTTTATAGTCACGTGAAGAGATGGCCAGTGACAAGGACGCCTCATAAAACAAATAATTATTCAACTGAAAACTCTGATCCGTCCATGCGTCCATCCTCCCACGTGTCCATTTCTCTCCCCGTGCATCCACGCATTCCTTTAATCTGTCCACGAGTGGGTGCTTTGAGCGACTTCGCGTTATCGTGACTTGCAGTGTGGTTGTTGAACGCAGTACGGGGTGACACGAGACGGTTAAGTCTGGTAGACCCGAGTCCTTGCCATGGGTGGCAGAATGTGTAAAATTCACGGGAACAAAAACCATGCTCGTAGCGAAAGAAGAGATCAGGCGATTGACCACCAGTGAGTGACTCAAGTGAATCGGTGAGTACTGGATCATCAATTGCCCTCATTGCCGCTTCACGCCGAGCGCTATCGGGTGCAGGGACGAGGTAGGAACTTTGTGCTCCATCCCTGGCTTGACAGCATGTCCGTATGTGCCCATCCGTGCATGTCCGTGCCCTCAGGTGCGAAACATGAACCACATGTTCCTGCTCCTGCGTCACCTGGTGCCGCTGGACTGCGCGCACCACCGGCCATCGCGTGTGACAACGCTGCGCGCGACGCTCCGCTACATCCGCCTGCTGCAAGCCGTGCTGGCGGAAACCACCACGGCATGCAGCTCCTCCCCATGCGGCGTGTGACATGGGAGGGAGGGCAGCGGTGGTTAACAGACCTCGAAATGTAGCGCGGGGTATCTGGCGAAGGGTATGGCGTACGCGCGCACCAACCCAGCCAGGTGCGTAGATGTAGGTGCGTGTAAGTGCGATGCCAACCGTGCTAATCGGAGATGCGGGAGCAGGGGGTGGGGGAGGACAAAAAAGTTGTAAATAAATTGGTTTTCAATTTAGATTATCATTTTAAAGTGCATAGCTCCCGTGGTAAGTGTTCCAGACGGCTGCAGAAGCGCATCTGAAAGGGCGAGATGTGGTTATTCATCTTTGTTCGATGGCTAGACAAAAGCCGCCACCGCTGCTGCTGCGAGGATGCCCTGGAGTTTGCGTGGTGCGGTTGCCCGTCCACGCGCAGGTGTCGCCTGCAACGGGGTTGGGGCCCGAAGGTGCGGGGTTGGGGCCCGAAGGTGCGGGGTTGGGGCCCGAAGGTGCGGGGTTGGGGCCCGAAGGTGCGTGCCAGGTCATGAGGTCGCGACGGCCAATGCCAATCGTGCCACCGCACCCTCGCCATTGCCTCCTTTCCTCCGCCGGATCAGACAGCCGTTGGTTCCCCAGTCGACACGTCCATGCGATAACATCAAAGTGACTGCCTTTCTCTCAAACGATGTCTGTCGGATGTTTAAACATGAGCGGTGTTGGACAGACAGAAACTTCTCGATCTCCATTAAGCAATACAAAAAAATAATCGAACCACATGCAGAAACGTTGCCAAGCCTTTATTTTGCATATCCAGCACGATGACATGTGCACGCATGTGTACATCTACTGCCCGCATGTGTACATCTACTGCCCTACTCGCCGGGTAGGAGTTGGCCAGAACGCTCAAACCCTCGCGCTCGCTCTGAGCTCCATAGCCTATCATTAAGTGGCGTAGGCACCGTGGCGAGATCTTTAACGTCTATTGAGTGCGCGATGCTGCCCCGTTGTGTTTTGCTCCGGCGCCGTCGCGATACGTTTGGACTTGAGCGCACGACACTGTCCTATGGTTTGTTATTTAAGATGTGTCCCTTAAATTTGTTATTTGAGTAAACCTCGATTTTTTTTTTCCCCCAATCATTAATGTGGTTTCAACACTTCTCAAATTTGCGTGGTGTCTGGTTTTGTGTGCGGATGGCGTCAAGACAGACTTAATACACATCAGCTAAAGTTTCTACAACTATATAATTTGTCGTGTAACTTCTACCTGCCTCATTTTTATTCTGTAATGTTCCATTCGTATAATCTGTCATTCCAGTCGCACACTTGCTGTCGTACAAATTTGTCCGAATAGTAAATGAACAATTGCTAAATAAAAAAAACCTATGCGCATATCACGAGCCATAAGAATTGACGTTACACATTCGAGCGTTACACGCCTCTTACTCATCCACCGCTGCAATACACAACATTTGTACACTTTTTTTAATTGCTTTAAAGTTTTTATTTTGTTGTGTGTATAATCACAAGACGGTGAATCAGATTCCTCGCTTGAACCATTTAAATTGCACACGCAAGTCGATAAATTAACACGTGGAATTAGTTAACATTAAAGTTTACATTTGAGAGATGCGATTCGCAAAACAAGTTGAAGCGTCTCCCCGCTCAGAGCCACAAAGGAGGGGGTGCCCCCACCCCCACCGAGCCAATGGTTGGAAATTCCATATTTCTATGCCAGGGACCAATCCACTCAAAAGGACGACGACCAGTCGACTAATTGCCTCCAAAGAGCAATTGCCAATTAACGAAAAGTCCAAGAGACTCTGGGATAAATGTTCTAGAGGTTCGCGGTTTCAATCCAGAAGGCTGCCCTAGTTGACTGCAGCTGGATTGATTGTAACGGGAACAATCTGTCACATGATGGATGGCCAGTGCCACACATCCTATCAGCACGATTGGCTACATACTGTGCGAAAGAAGTTCACCATACACGTACGTATAAACATGTGTGCCATGGTCCAGTTTCCAATTTAATTTGTATTACTCAAATCGGATTTACACAGCAACATCACCCTTTTACTGTTAAAAACTACCGCAGACAAAGGCGTTCAACATAGCACTTCCCTTCATAATAGCCTTGTTAGAATGGCGCGAATACCAAATGTACTAAATTATATTACTAGCACATTGCACCTAAGTGAGATAACCATGTCATCCCCCCCCCCTAACCACCACCCTTACTTAAAAACAAACGCCTATTGATGCTCGTTCTTCAATTAACAAGGGAGTGGAGAAGGATGTTGTGGCCTTTAAGACAATTGATTGACTTCCTTTCTATGCATTCATTAATAAGTAACGCACAGCACTTACAAACCAGTCCTGGCAATTAGATTTCCAAATTGCAAAAAAAAATTTGAGAAAATTGCAAAGTCTACAGCTTATTTAAGAGTCCTTTGGCTAAAGTATATTGGCTACAGCTTACTCCAAGAGACTCATTTAAAGCAACTCGTCAAATTAATCAAGTTTTTTTTTTATGACACTGTGCCCGGTTGAAATGCCACATGACCAGTTGCGTAATGATACGGACTACTAAAGTTGAAATCCTGCTGTGCGGACTTTAGGCAAGCCTTTGCCAGAACTCAACCGCAGTCGTTCTATGGGAGTCCTGGCACCAGCCATTAGTAAATGTGGAATTTCCACCAAATGGTCCGGCAGAGCTGAGAACAGCACCACGGTTGATTAAGCAGGGATGCGCTTTTTAGCCAGGGCACCCGTCGCTTCAAAAGGGACGGTTGGCCAACGGAATCGGGACTAAAGAAGGCACGGCAGCCAAGGGAGGCGGGAGCGTGCGACGTCCACTGCGGAGATAGAGCTGTGAAACCAGCTCATGTAGCAGGTGCTAGGTGGATTATTACACCGTGGGATTTGTGAGAGACGGCTACGGCTTGGGGAGTCCATCATCAAGCAGTAGTTCGATCATCGTGGACGATTAATATATTCACATGACAATCAGCGTCACTTTTAGCAGGTTTCACAGATTTGGTGTAATCACCTTTCAGACAATAAGTAAACAAATAATAATTAAATAACGGAGTGCACAAACAATGAATTCTAAACCAAGATCGTGCACCAGTGTGGTGCCTTACCTTTTGAATACTAAAATACTAACATATACAATGTTCAGTCCCACACAAGCAGGTATCGAAATATTCGCCTAAGACAAACTCGTTAAGCAAATAAGAAGAGCAAATGTGTTTTACAAGCGTCAACGTGAGACCATTAAGTGTATCAGTGTGCCTCTATATGTGTGCGTCTGTCTCTAGGTATGTCTTTAATTGTCCGTGTGTGTGCATCTGTGGGTCTGTGTGTGTCGGTGTTATGTCTTTGTGTCCAGCTGTGTATGATGTCTAGGAAGTGGTCTCTGGTACCTTTTGCCAAGCAGTGGATAGAGAATGGCACTTAATTGCGAACAAAACGTGTTCAACTCTAAATGCCATCAGCGGACTATAAAACACTGTCTGGTGCACGTGGAGAGTTTATGTGTGTATTATTCATTCTGCTTCTACATTAGAGTTTATAATGTAATCAATCATTGATCCGAGGCCATTAAAATGAGGACCACTTTGTGAAAAGTCAATGTGGATTTCCTAAGAGGGTCTGGGTCCCCTGCCATGAAAATAAGGAAATTTCATCACTGGCTCATGGCCACCAACAGAGAGATGATCGCTGGACAATCCTCATTCAAGATAAGAAATAATGTTGTACACGTGCAGCCGTGCTTGTCAATCCACTGCTTACTGAGGGCTTCCCCGCACCGTTACGGCCATACTTCACCACAATGTGAAGAATGGCTTGGTGATGGAAGGGTTCATAGATGTGAGAGTACAGTAAAATGGATTTGTTGCTGCACTGCCCTCTGCTGCTTACAACGTAATCCTGGGATAAATACAAGTACAGGGACTCCTCTACTTACGAACAGTTGACTTACAAACTTTCAGAGACACGAACAAACCTGTACATATGTCCAGTTGCCTGTTCGGACATAGATTCGTAAGTTCAACCTCTGTACAACAGATGGCGGTGCTGGAATCTACATCTGAAAGAACATGAAGAACCAGTGGCATCTACATCTGCAGAACATGAAGAACATAGTAACATCTACAGGAGATTTACAACAATTAAAGCCATTTCCTGTGTTTAGTGTACATGCCGTACAACATGTTTGGAATCGACAGGAGTAAAGTTGGACTTACGAAAAAATTGACTTACGAACAGACATCTGGAACCTAACTCGTTTGTAAGTAGAGGAGTCCCTGTAAAATGGAGCTCTGTACATCTCTAATGGATGCACCCGAGCGAGGCGGCAGGAATTCCACATTTGCATGGCTGGGGCCCAGTCCACTGTCTCCGGAAGGATGACAAAGCTGTAAGGGAGGAGGAAAATGTTTGGCGGCTGTGGCGGTGCACAAATCCATTCGCTCCTACACTTGCCCCCCCCCCCAACCCCAATCGTGCCCTCCAGTCGCTTCAACCCCTTTGGCAGACATTAAAGATGCCCGGCAGACTGCTGCAAAGTACATCACACACAGGGCGCACGGCAACATGGCAGCACACCTGCATTAATGGGGCCCCATGCCATTTAGGCGAGGGCGTGAGCTTTGAAGTTGAAATACAGCTTTGAAGTTGCCAATTCCTTTGAAGTGTGATGTTGCTCCGCATTTTGAGTACAAAGCTTTGGGATTTGTGAACCGACGAGAGTGATTAATCTCCTGAACGAGATATCAAAAGTGCCCTGCATAACTCTGGCTGCACAAATCGGTGTTAAATAAGCAGACGTTGGGGTGCAAGTTTTCCCACTGACCAAGGGATGTAATTAAAGCAGGAGTAATATTAGTTATTCTTTGAGACGGAGAACTAGTCGGGTTTTTGCGTTTGAAGAGACGGCAGCTGCATGCGGAGAATGCTGGGATTTTTATGGCAGGTTAGGGTAAGCTACTTGTTAGTCCCCAAATAGAACGAGGTATAGTTATAACAGGAATATGTAGACATGGTAAGGAATGGGTGGGACATGTGCAGAGGATAGAGGAGGGCAAGTTACCATGCGTGACATTGTAGTGGCACTCACAGATTACCTACGAAAAGAGAATACCTAAAAATCCAGATAGTGGTGGACCTCTTTGACCTTCACAGTATATCATAACCTCTCTTCCAGGTGAGATCTGGCTACGCTTAGGGGAAGACTCTTAATAGATTTAATTAAAATTGTATATTAGAATCCTAATACAAGCGCGTCTCAAGATGCTGTACTGAAACAGTCAACATTTATTTTATAGAGAGAAGCAGTCAGCCATCGGCAGATTCTGTCTATACGATTATTAGATGTATCACTCTCCTGCTGCTGCGTCAGCTGCATGTACTCAATCAACCTTCGCTCGCCATGTGTTTTAACCGCTTGCTGCTGCTGCCGCCACCGGCATCGTCACCGCTGCCACCGTCGACACCACCGTCACCGCCGCCACCTTAGCTGAGTAGATTGTGTCGGTCGAAGACGGTGCGCCGCTGCTCCTGCACCTGCCGCTTCCAGCGCTCCTGTGCTCCCTCCACGCGCTCCAGCACGGTTCCGGCGCGACCCCGCGACCCCAAGCCCGCCGACATGCGGTCGTACGCAAACGAGCGCGGTTCCTGCTGTGTCGACACGGGAGAGGGGGAGGCAGAGAAGGGGAAAGGAGGGAGAGAGAAGTGGTTAAAAGGAAGAAGCAATCGCCCAAAAACAACAAATATTTGGCGAGAAGGGCCGGGCGGCCCCATCATCGAAGGGTTCTGCGCCTGTCCTGTCGCACTATACTGATGCAACAGCTGCACGGGAACACAATTTCAACAGAATTGGGGGAAAAAGGACAAATTATTTTGAACAGCTGCACAAATAAGATGAAGCGGTTGGTAACAGCTGTGTGGCAACAATGGGGTGCAAATGGGCAGTCGGTGAAGTGCGCCGTTTCCTCGCGTGGTGCGTGGTGGTGCCGTTGCAGTGGTCGTGTGGAGAGGGTCACCTCGGTGTCCGTCTCGGCGTGCAGCGCCGGCGCGTGGGCATCCGACTTGCGGATAAGCGGGTCCACCAGCATGAGGAAGGCCATGTAGACCAGCAGGGCGCCCACAATGGTCAGGTAGATAATGATTGTGACCTGCACGTGCGTTTGTGTCAAAGACACACACGCGTATATATGGGGGTGGTGACATCGCCGCGTGTGGTGGCGCATTTGACAATTGTTGCAGAAATTTGCACTGTGAACCCAGTGGTCACCCTGGTTAATACTGCGCTTGTATTAACCACGAACAATATAAGGCATCGTCTGCTTGGAGCGGATGTTAAAGGTCCCCGTGACGTTATAAAAAATAATGGCCACGTTTGTTGGAGTCACGGTTCAAATATGTGAAAATAACTGCCAAGTGATCTAATATGGTAAAACCTCAGCAGAAATTTCCCTTTACTGTGAAATTACTTTAGACAATACTACTCATCTGTGCAACATAGCAACTCCATACCTGTCAACCCCTTATCAAGTGCCTACCTTATTACATACCAATTTAGACCTTATTGGTCACCCCGTGCCTTTATAAATCTCAAAGTTCATCATAAAAACTCCCATCACAAGGGAGAAACACAAGTAATTTTTTTGCCCGTATTGAAATGGCTGTATGCCATATGGACCTCAGAACTCAATTTCTCTGGACAAGAATACGAGTAAACCGTATGGGTTGAGAGATATGCAACTTTGTGATAGTCTTGCAACACTCATGAACGTGTCTAAGAGATGCACACAAGCAAAAGCACACATAGACATACATTTTATACATACACATGCACTTCACACTCCCGCACCAATTGCACACATCCGTTATACACACTGCCTATAAATAGAAATATCCTTTTTATAGCAATGTACACTGTAGGGGCAAGTGACGTTAGGGAGCACATATTGGGGTCAAAATAGTGCGCGTTACTCAATTAAGGATGAGCTTACTTTGAGGAGGCACAGGACCGGTTCAGATATTCGTCACTGATGTTGGCCATGAGCAGAAATCGAACTCGGGTTGCCAGGTTCATAGTGCAGTATGCTAACCGGTGCACAAAGACAAAGATCCCCCATATAGCCTTAAAAGACTGTTGGGGCAGCCAAGTGCTGTTAGCAAACACCTATGAAGGCTGGCAAGGTACACGAGGGGGTGGATGGCCAGCACCACACCCGACAGGTGCATGCTCGTGCACACACACACACACGTGTAAGTGGTTAGCGCACAACTCCGGTTGGCTCGGCTAGCCGCACCTTGATGGTGACAGTGCTGCGCTCCTCGTACTTGCACTCGCAGCGCAGGCAGTATGCCTCCACATCGCTCCCCGGCACTGGCATGGGTTTCACCACATGCAGGCAGTCACTGCACACACGCGCGTGCGAAACAAACACGTGGACACGGACACAATGCAGTTTTTAGCGAGCTACAGGCCAAAAATGATAACAATTTAACTGTTCTAAGAGTAAACTAGCAAACATGCACACTCTCATTCAGAGACAGCCACTTCAACAGGCAACAATCTCCAAGACACATGACAATATGGCGCTAATTGCAAATAAAAAAATAATTAAAACACTTGCACAACATTTGCAACTCTTACAGCTAGTATATATTCTGTGTGAACTGGCTGTGTGCAAAATTTAATTACTTACATAATATATTCACGCTACCAAGGACCATTGTCTGAATGAAATGTCACCCATTATATATTTTTCCTTTAAAGGCTGTGTTATTGACGAAAGTAGATCTGTGTTATTGACGAAAGTAGATCTGTGGCATCTGCTTCCGTGGGCTGTTCTCAAACATGAAGGATGTACTGCTCTGGGAGAGATCCGAATGGATTACTTGTATCATATGACACCAACGGCACAATCACAACATTACTGTGAAATTACAAAAACAATACATCACAGCGTAGGATCCCCTCCCTAAATAAGTCTTCAGACTCGGATAATTTTCTGGATTAAGAAATAATATTCAAAATCACATTAGCTATGTATTATTGTATTCAGCTGCAGCGCAGTCAATCACTTGGGTCAGTCTACGCAGTTAAACCGATCCGTGGCAATTTGCCACCAGTCTCACCAGTCTTTCTGCGGCACATTGTTGGTGTAGACCTTTCCGGCAAAGGCCTTGTACTGGGGACAGATGCACTTGCATCGCGCGTCTTCAGATTTCTGGGAGAAAGCATCGCAGGTCATGGCTCGCAAACCTCTGCTATCTCTCCACAACATCGACAATGTCATCCAGCAAAGCCGGCCATAACCCTATCACCACACACCACGTCGGCGCAAAAAACAACGCACCGGCACCTTTACAAGACGCCGTCTACAAACAAAAAAAAGAACATATACTTCGCTTTTCACAATTCTGGGCGGTCGCTTACGATTTTTCAGTACATTTGGATCAAAGGATCTGGGTACTCCCACCTCTACTCAAGACGGATGTGTCCGCGTGGGAGAGTAGGACAGCATCTAGAGCTCCCTCTAATGGATACACTTCCGCCAGCAGTTGGTGTTAGCAAAATATTGCAGGGCTACACATTTGCCGAGTCCTCCGGTTTTTCCCTCCACATTTAGAAACATGCATTGAGATTATTTAGATAATTTAGGTGCTATAAATGTCCAAATGATGGGCCACTTTGTTGAGCTATCAATTGTGGCCAGGTCGCTTCTGAAAAATAAGTTAATACCTCAGTGGGCTTTGCCTGGTAGGATGGGGATGGTTTAGTTGAATTTGTGTGTTTTGGTGATTTGTTTACCTTTCTCGTACTCTGCACTACTATCATGCTTTTGTACTGTTTGTTGCTGTACCGTTCTTACCAACCCCTACTGGACATCTGTAAAAAATATATCTTTATAGCTTATCGGATTCTTCCATTACAAATATTCTGATTTGGCAGAGGGCTGGCAAGGTGTGGTGCCATCAACGGCTTCGTGTCTCTAACGACATCTTTAATCTTAGCTCGAAGGTCTCTTCATCAGGGGCTCACCACGGGCCATTGACAATCCATCAACAGCACCAACAATTTCGATGTAAAGCTGCGGTGACTGCAGGGATTCATATTCTTGGTTCTTTCGGTAAAGTCACCACGTAGCACCAACAATGCCGAACAGAGAATCTCCGGCAATGACCGGTGAACGAGAAAAGGCCACTCGCCCGACATCACATGACCTAGTTAAAAAAATATCAGTCTCATCGTTACCAAAGCTCACTAACGCAAAATCTTAGGCGTACCGACCTGTCAATTAACGAAAACTATCGTTCCACACCATTGCAATATCGACGTACTAAGAGCATAAACAAATGCGTAGACGCGCGCCTGTGAAGTGTATGCACACATTCGTAGGGTCGATTTGTATCATTAATAAAGAATCCAAACCCACCGTTTGACATCCCGGGAATCACATACAAGATACTTTCCCGTCCGATACGTATTGTTTGCGTAGGTTGCGCTTTAATTTAAGTTAACTTGGGCTGCAATTGAACGAGGAGAGAAACCATCGACTCCCTTAGGCCGAAGCCTACACCTTCGCCTGGATCCGGCCACGGGGTGCCCCCTCGCATTTCTCGGCCAAGTGACCAGGAAAATACGTATGGCTCGGTCCGGGGAAGATGGGGTGTGGGGTGGGGGGAAACAAAAAGAGACCAACACAACTTACTTTCGAGTCGTCCGACGTGACGAGCACAAAGAATGAGAGCGCGACTGCGACTGTAAACAGCCTGAGCACCATCGCGATCGCTTTGTTAATTTATTTCGGCGTTTCTATTAAAAAAAACTACTGGGCCGCGGCGCTCGGGGATAGCCGTCCCGAGGCCAGCGCTGTGATTGGCCACGTCTCGGTGACGTCACCGCGATTGCGCAATCCCCGCGGTGCCATCCGGAGGGCGACGTCATCCGCTTTCTGCACCGCGGTTTAATTATCAACGTTTAAGTCAACGTATAGAAGGCTATAACAATATGTTTTACCCTTTCTGGCAATAAATCAGGTGTTAAGATGGTAAAACACCAAACAATCCTTTTTCATAATCCTTTTTCAAGGAATCCTGTCTGCATTAATCAAGGAATCATGGTCTGCATTAACCACACGTACTTGTGGTGAACATGCAAACAAAAAAATCTGCTCTGATAACACGATGTAACACGATTTTTGTCCCTGGGTAGTAAGTGTTATTTTCTAACTGCTCATGCCTCAAAAGTATAGAAAATGGCTATTATTCCACACAAACTTTGCTTTTGTGACATTCTCGAGAGAATCGCATCATGAATATTAATCAGCGGGTGAACCACATTAAAGCCCCGCCCATGCGATGTCCCTATTGGCTGGGACGTCCTCATGTTTATTCATGAGCCGTGTTTTTTTTCTTCACTTATTGGTAATTTGCAATATGGAAAGTGCAGAGTACACTTGCAGAGTGCACTTTCCATATTGTTCACTCGTCCTGCCGATTATGCTAGACAATAAAAGGAGGGGGCGATCGTTTTTGTGAATTGCCAGCGCAGTTTTGTCTATTTTATTTCAAACAGGCGCATGCATTCGATCGCGGCGGACACCTATTTCTGGAATCTTCCCGGGGGTCCTCAGGTTGTATCGTCCAAGGAATCGAAACCAACGCTCGAGTGTTAGATTCCCCAACTTCGATTCTCTATCTCGAAATAAAATGGACGGGGGCGCAGGGTTCGTGTTTAAGCTAAAATAAGTTTGTATTTATAATAAAGGATACTTTTACAGGATATAAGGGCCTTATTGCGATCTAAGGTTGCAATTTGGGATCTATGGCTGCAATCAGGATAATAGCATCTCAATTATGCGCTTTGAATTGGGCGCTTTGTATTTCCGTTTAGGATTTCGCGTTATAGGATTTCGCGAGATTATTGCAACGAATCTGTGGGTCTCAAAAAGTGCACCGATGTACAGACCCCACAGCATCGTTCAGAGTTGCTATATCGGCACCCAAGGAGCCGAATTGGCATCGCCAACGCGTTCTCGTGCCAAGAGCCCGAGGTTGTTGGGGTTTATTTCTTCCGTTCTAGGACCAATTTTGGGGGGGTTCAGTTCCACGTTTAACTCCTCTAGGACCAATTTTGGGGGGGTTCAGTTCCACGTTCAACTCCTCTAGGACCAATTTTGGGGGGGTTCAGTTCCACGTTCAACTCCTCTAGGACCAATTTTGGGGGGGTTCAGTTCCACGTTCAACTCCTCTAGGACCAATTTTGGGGGGGTTCAGTTCCACGTTCAACTCCTCTAGGACCAATTTTGGGGGGGTTCAGTTCCACGTTCAACTCCTCTAGGACCAATTTGGGGGGGTTCAGTTCCACGTTCAACTCCTCTAGGACCAATTTTGGGGGGGTTCAGTTCCACGTTCAACTCCTCTAGGACCAATTTTGGGGGGGTTCAGTTCCACGTTCAACTCCTCTAGGACCAATTTGGGGGGGGTTCAGTTCCACGTTTAACTCCTCTAGGACCAATTTTGGGGGGGTTCAGTTCCACGTTCAACTCCTCTAGGACCAATTTTGGGGGGTTCAGTTCCACGTTCAACTCCTAGGACCAATTTGGGGGGGTTCAGTTCCACGTTCAACTCCTCTCGGACCAATTTGGGGGGGTTCAGTTCCACGTTCAACTCCTCTAGGACCAATTTGGGGGGGTTCAGTTCCACGTTCAACTCCCTTCCGCGTCTCACAATTTAGTCCTTGCATCTTCCCTCTCTCGGACTTACAGTCCTTTCAAATCATTCCCTCACCCCCCTCATCTTATTTCCCTCACACACGCTCGCACGTTAATACCCTTCGCACAAACCGAGACAAGTTGTTCCACATTTATTTATTTTATATATATTTTCATATATATTTCATTATTTTATTGTTTCCCTTCAACGTGACTTTACAGAAAGAGCTAAGAATATGAATTACTGCAGTCACGAAAGCTTTAAATCAAAATTTAAGTTTGTGTTCCACTGTCACCTCTTCTCAAGAGTGCTGCATGTTGCTGGCCGCGTGGATTTTCTATCTACGGGACCCTCCCGCTTTTCCCCCCATCCGCATTTATAAACGTGCATTGAGGTTTACTTTGATTATTATTATTTTTAGAAACGTGCATTGAGGTTACTTTTTTTTGTTTTAGAAACGTGCATTGAGATTATTTAGATTATATATTTTTTGGGGGGGTATAAATGTCCAAATGATGGGGCCCACTTTGTTGAGCTATCGTTTGTGGCCAGGTCGCTTCTGAACAAGAAGTTTAGTGGGATGGGGATGGTTTTAGTTTTGTTTGGGTGATTTGTTCACCTTATACTTCGCATTCCTATCGTGTGTTTGTACTGTTGTTGGGACCTGGTCACCCCCGAGCCCTTTAACTGGACATGTGTGGACAAAGAGCTTCATAGTTCATCGGATTCCACCTGCGGTATAAAAAAATGTTTAAAAAAATAGATCCATTCATTTTCACGCGACTATTTTTAAAATATATAAACGAATCGATTCCTTATGCAGAACAACACGTAGCGATTTCCACGTCGAGACGTTAAAGGAATCGACTCCGATTCCAGCGACTTGGAACGCGCGCGATGAGCGATGCGGCGCGTTTCCGACGGTGATTTCGGTTAGGAATCGATTCGCCGAAAATAAATCGTTCCCGGTTAGTTTTTTGTTATGGCGAATCGACCTCACGCAATACAAATCTGCGGTATTTGTGGCATCGATCCTGGATTTTTAGTTTCGTTCGGACGGAATCGATCCGACACCCCCCACCCCACCACCAAAGCAGCGGCCACCACGTGCAAGCGTCTTTCGCGGGCTCCTCTCTTTATCGATCTTTCTCGTTCTTTCTCCGCCTCTCTCGACGTCTCTCGCCGTCTTCAGCGACTGCCCAGTAGGACGGAGCATCCAGCTCGAGGTTCAGTCAAAGCATTGTTGTGCGGGGAAGACGGTGGTGGGTTGAATCGCGAGCGTGTTAGTTGTTACATTTAGAGCGGCAGCGGCGGCGAGGGATGACTGCCGAGGCAGATGCGAAGGTGGAGAAGGTGGAGGAGGCGGTGGTCGGCGGTGGTGGCGCGGAAGCAGGGGACGACATCTCCCCCAAACAGGACGGCGGAGTGCGCAAGGTAACGGCGAGTGGTCAACTGCAGATGAGCACATTTGACGACCGTCGTCATTGTTTGCCGTGTGAGCGGGAGCTGCTTCATCTGTGTCAAAGTCCCGATCAATGGTCTTCATTCTTGGCACGGGCATCGTCGTTATCCCCCCGAGTAAAAAAAAATCATTGTCGGAGCTATTTCAACATCGTCGTGGCTTTCATTAGCATCGTTATCACCCCGATTGCTGTGATCGTCCAGAGCATAAGCATTGTCATTCCTACAACCATGATCTATTGTCATCTTCTCGATCACCATCTCTGACATCTAAACCCCCACCAAACGCACATATATTGACTGATTAGCAGAAGCAGCATTTTCGTTCGGGGCTCTCGAAACGATGGCAAGTCTGCTGTATTCCATAACTATGGATGCTCAGTTTCCCACCATAGTAATGCCGAATTTTCCCAACTAACAACCACTAACCAAAAAAAAATGGAAGTCGACACCCAGATTGCAGAAACATCTGTCGTTGAAAAAGGACATCGGGGCAAAGGAGCAAACCCTGAAATTTCTCGCTCACGCCGCAATGGGCGGAAGAGCGAAACCACTTTAATTAAAGAGGGTGTTTGGTCTACTCTTCCACGCCGTGAGTGAGTGCGGCCGTCAGACCTCCGTGGAAATGCGCAGGGGGGGGGGGGGAGATGTCACCCGCACATTAACGCTTTCGACCTGTGCCGACCACGCGCACTCGTTTCAATGTTAACCAATTCATTGCAATGTTAACCAATTCATTGGAATGTTAACCAATTGCAATGTTAATCGATTTATGCCCCGATGGCTTGGTTGGAGGACGAGATGCGTTGGGGGTGGTGAGGGAATTTGAATAATCCGCATCGCTGGAGCCACTGTCCGCGCTGTGGGGATGGAAGTCGAAACGGAGAACCTTCTCGATTGCAAGTTCGTTGTGCTGCTGCTGCTGCTCACCATTTACACCACCAGTGGTTCTTACAACCACCAGTGGTTCTTACAACATTCACAGCAGCAGCCTTGCAAGCCCCTTTGGTTCACAATCGTTAAAAAAAAACACTTTAAAAATGCGTTATGTTAATTTTAAACACGTAGGTTTGATGATACAAGGTAACAACGATTGTCCCAATATTTCCGTGCTTAATTTATGTTTTCCATGACAGTATTTACCTTCGAGAAAAAAATGCCCATGTCTCGCAACCCCCCCCGGAAAGGGCATCTCGCACCCCCAGGGGGTAATGCACCCCGGGTTAAGAACCACTGGTGTAGTGTATAGCGTAGTGTAGAGTATAGTGTAGTGTAGAATGCAGTGGTTCATAACCTTTACAGCAGCCTTGCAGCCCCTTTGGTTCACAATCGTTAAAACAATGTATGGAATGTTAATAAATACGTCGGGTTTGATTAAACAAAGTAGTTGTACTTACGTGACCGTGCTTAATTTGTTTTTTTTAGATTATTTACCTTCAAAAAAAAATCTGTCCATGTCTCGTACCCCCCCCCCCCCCGAAAGGGCATCTCGCACCCCAGGCTAAGAACCACTGCATTACAACATTGGCAGCTTTCCCGCATGCATGTGTATATAACACCTTACCCCCCCACCCCCAAACTATTGGCAAAGCATCAGATTAAGTCAATGAGAGTGGCTGAGGAAAATTCCAGAATGACAGAAATGAGATCGGTGTGTTTGTGTGTATTAATGATAATGTGGGGAATTATAATGTGCAGCACCTTTATCACTACACTGCTGGATGAAGCCCCTCCCCATTCCTTGCCAGTCGCTTGTGGCTGTTCGCTGGTCAGTGCGGGGGTTGGTGAAGGCAGAGAAGGGCCCGTAACTGGTTGTGATGTCACCGAGCTGCTGATGATTCCTAGTACTGTAGTTTTAGCGGAGTATAAATTGAGTTTTCATTGCGATGGGACTCTGGCTTATTAAAGAAAGTTCCAGAATAGGTGACTCAAACCGACTTGATTGTGTCGCGTTCTCAGCAGATTATTATTAAGCTGTTGGGCAGTACATCGCTACTGACGGTGGCTGGTGATAGGCTGTGATGAGATGGGTAATTAATCAGAATTAGAATATGTATTTACACTGGAGGAATCCAATTAGCTATAAAGCTCTTTTTCGGAGATGTCCAGTAGTGATGGCCGTGGAGGATGGTGTTAAAATCTTGTAATGTAAAATCTTGTACTGTATATTGTGGGGGGTTCTTGTTGGCCGTGAATTTAAATTATTTACGGGACGCTGATGGGCTCAGGAAAGTTCCGGAATGGGTGACTGAAACCAATGTGTGGGTGGGGCGTTGTAGCTGAGTGGCAGGAGGACGATTGAGGGATTGGCAGGCAGCGTCTTGGTTGAAGGAGGCTTCATACAACAGTGGATTGACCACAGCTCATGGCGGTTGTGTGTTGCTGCAGAATTAAGCCGTTGAGGATTTGTGTGGGGTATTTTTTGTGTAATTCAAATTTCTTAGAATTTTAAACGCTCGGGTAGGTAATTAGTTTTCTCACGTGGGCTGAGCGCAGGCCCAAAGGCGCAGAATGCCGGACGGCCAGCAGCAGACGGCACTCTTTAAGTGTGTAATAAAGCTATACGTTTCTTAAATTGAGCAAGGTTTTAATAAGATGGGCAAAACAGTGACGGTGGCGGGAGGGAATTCCAAGTGAAGCAGTGCAAGGGAAGAGGCAGAGAGAGGAGTGTGGTGACCTGTGGTGAGTGGGTTAAGTGTGGTATTGTGACCTGCAGTGTGGTGAGTGGGTAAGTGGGTTAGTGTGGTGTTATGACCTGCAGTGTGGTGGGTTAGTGTGGTGTTGTGACCTGCAGTGTGGTGAGTGGGTTAGTGTGTTGTAACGCTGTGTGTCGTGGTGGTTGAACACAGTGCTGATGAGATGCGGGTGGGCGAATTGGTGAGCGCAGTTTACATAAACAGTGACCATGCTAGTAGTAGCGATAGAAGAGTGAAAAGGATGCAGATGTATTGCTTATGGTGGCCATGATTGGACTGTGGTGCCCTGTGATGGAAGATTCCATCCACTCTGAGTGAATGAAATCGTCAATGTGTGTGGGTTTTTTTTTAGCAGAGATAGAAACTTTTGGTGGCCGCCTCAGGTCAAATTACCCGGAATTCAGCCGATATCATCACGCCTCCGAAGCCGGGCAGGGGCGGGAGTGGGGTGTGAGCATAGACGGTGCTTTGATTGGCAGGTCGCTTTTTGCAACCGAGCTGCACAACTGATCACTGGACAATAATGAAACAAGCCATACCAGATGAATGCACACACGTACAGCCCTTTTGTCAATCTGCTGCTGGATGAGTACCTCTCCCCATGCTGTGCGGGCCATGCAGCTCAGTGTGTGTTGGTGGCGACACAGCGTACGTATTGTAGCATAGAAGTACAGCGCAACAGTGTATTTTGCGGCCCCTGCTGCTCAACCACGTAGCCCTGCCCTAGAAGCCTATAGCCACTTGCTATGCAATGTGGTCTCCCGACCAAGGTTTAGCCAGGCTCAGATCTCATTGGCTTCTGAGATCTCTGACAAGATAGCACGCATCCTGGGCGATGGGGTCATGGGTGTGCCAGATTGAATGCAGTGAAAACGGAGCTGCCGCAATACTACGTATTCGCTGGACAGAGTCGGAGAGATAATGGAATGAGAGACATGCACAGAGGCACTGAGAAGCGCGTATAGAGACACGGCGCTAGACCCACATACAAGAGAGATTGTGAAGAGTTTGTCACGGGGAGGAGAGACACTTGAGACGGACAGAGAAACAGACGGCAGAGAGATATTTGGAGAGACATGACAGGTATAGAGGGACACGGATAGGTGGAAACACAGAGACGACACAGGGATGTGGAGAGCCACGCAGTAATTTAGAGAGACGGTTGCGGAGAGTGGCAGACGGACACATGGAAACATAGACGGACACATGAAGGGAGGGAACACGGAGGCACAACCTTGAGCATGTTCACACGTTGCGCTTGCGTAAAGACAGCAGTGCCTGCGATTGCGAGAGTTTGGATGCCAATAATTTATGGGGAATGCTCGCATCGGGGCAGCGTGACCCAGCCTTAACGCGATTGAGTTTGCACAAGGCTCGCTAGAGAGTGTTACGTTGCAAAATTCAACGTGAGTCCAGTCCAAGCTCCCAGTAGGTCAGCTCAGCATTAAATGAGTTGCCCGGTGTTGTGCTTAGACGTTGAGTTTAGTGCGGGAGGGCAGACGAGCAAGGCCTGTGCATGGTGGGCAGTGCTGACCACAATGCCCTCCACGTGCACCGGGCAAGCCTTCGTGCGCGCTTGTTGACAAGCATGGGTGGGGTGTAAAGTCGCATATGTCGCAAGGGCTGCTTTTTCGATGAATTTTTATAAATTAATATGAGTACAGGGGTGGACTTTTGTGTTACGAGATGGGTACTTGAGGCAGGGGTAGGCCATATCTGTGTTGCTGTGCGAGTTCGAGAAACCCAGACTGGCAATTTACACAGAGGACCCCTTAGACTCGCATGGACACCCGTAGACTCGCACGGAGACCCATAGAATCACATAGAGACCCATGGACTCAAATGTTCCGAGCGGGCAGTGGTGGTGCTATGTGGTCCACGGTTAGATATTGGTGCCTGCAGTGACATTATGGGCTATTCTTAATTGTACCGTCAGTGCGGGAGGAAAACAGCCATGTCTCCCGTGCAATGTTCTGCCGCGGTTCAATACAGACCCATACGTGGCTCAGTTGCCCATAATATAACAACACATCTGGGTTTTTTTTATTTAGGCCTAGGGGGAGCCCCGATTGGAAGCTCATCCCCTGTCGGTGACATTGGCATAGTGCCCGGTTTCTCTCCCCCAAGCCTGGGCATTGAGCCGAGGGCATCACGCTGTGAGATCCGCTGTCGCGCGTCGCCCAAACGTGGGGCGGGGGTTATTGTTGATAATGTTGGTCGTGAAAGCCGACGTGTTAAACTGACGGCCGGGGTTGTTGCGACGGCGGGGGCGCCGGGTGACGAGCGTTTGACCTCCAGATGATCGCGCTGACCCCTCGTCAACCCTTGTCCAACCCGCAGCTGATCAAGCGTGCGGGCGAGGGCGATGACACGCCGCTGGCCGGAGACAAGGTGTGGGTTCACTACACGGGCACGTTGCTCGACGGAACCAAGTTCGACTCCAGTCGCGACCGAGGGGAGAAGTTCACCTTCGAGCTGGGCAAGGGTGAGGATTCTCGTGCCGTGGCCCAGTGAGACAAACACTGTCGGTATGAAATCGAAGAGGCCTTTTTGTTCCCCTGTATAATCTAAAGCAAAAGTTGGGGGCGGGGGGAAGGGGGGGTGGTGGGGGGATGCATCTTATAATGAGGACAATTCATTGTATTCCGGAAGATGCGTTTTAATCTGGTTCAGAATTATCTTCCGGAAGACTGCAGGTGTGTCGCCCGGTTTGTGTAACTTTGACACCGGGGGGGGGGGGTACAAATTTAGGGGTTGTGCATTGCTCTGCGGAGCATCCGGAGATATACGCACATTCTAAGTGGAATATCAGCAAACAGTTCTGCATCCTTATGATAGTTGACTCTGCATTTGTTATATCTGGGGTAATTGGGCTAAGGGTGGTCCATATGGGAGAAAAAAAACATGGATAATGAAAAACAAATGTAAATTAGGCAATAAATCATGGTGTTGGTTACCTATACAGAATCTGGGTGAAGAGGTAGAATGCGTCGTATGGTTTGTATTGTTTGCGAAAGTAATCAGATTACTTACCGATGTGTTTGTGGTCACGTGGGCACCGAGTCGTGGACCCTCAACGAGCGAGGTTCAGCCAATAATTAGAGCAGCATGGCTACTCCGTTACCTGTCTACCACGCAACCCGGTTACTAAGTAACCCGACCACCAAACAAGCCGGTCACTCCACCCACGGATAATGAAGAGTTAGCTTTGTAAGCAACCACGGGTCTGCATCGCGGTGTAGCTGTTTGCTACGGTCCAGCAGTAGCCATCGTTGCTGCCGTTTGCCTGTGACCGCACGCACGCACTTATGTACGTTTGCCGCCTTGCGTGCATGACCGTTGGTGCCCCCACGCGCTACCTTTTACAGAGCAAGTGATCAAGGCATGGGACATCGGCGTGGCGACGATGAAGCGGGGGGAGCTGTGCCAGCTGACGTGCGCCGCCGAATACGCTTACGGCGCCGTGGGCAGCCCCCCCAAGATCCCCGCGAACTCCACGCTCATCTTTGAGGTCGGTCCTTTCGACCACTCGGACGGTTATTTGGCCACTCGGTGGGTCTGTAATTCAGGTCGTATGTGGAGGTACTAAACTTTTTTCCTCTTGCACGTGTGGATAACCATAATGCTCCCGAACAGCGCATAACGAGTTTCACGTTTAACAGGGCACCATTGCTAAGACCAGATGTAATTGTGGTTGTACCATCATTTAGGCCAGATGTCATCGTGGTTGTACCATCTTGCAGCCCAGCAGCACTTGCTTATTAAGTATGGATGTTGGACTTATTTCGGACCGTGCATAGCCAACCGCACAAAACGGAGGTGCGGGGGAAGGACAAAAAACACAAAAAGCAGTTCTGACTGCTGATGGTCGCAATGTTTGCCCGCGGGGTGACCACGCCTGGGTCTTCCCCCAGGTGGAGTTGTTTGACTGGAAGGGGGAGGACCTCACGGAAGAGGAGGATGGAGGCATCATCCGGCGCATCCATTGCAAGGGGGAGGGCTACTCCAAGCCTAATGAGGGCTCCACCGTGGAGGGTACGCCCCCCCCCCCCCCTCGTCGCCCACACGCGCGCTGCGACTCCGCCACGGCTACAGACACAACGCGGCTGCAGATACACGCGGCCGCAATTATCAGGCACAGCGAGGCGCAGCGCCGCCACGCAGACAACCGCTCCGACTGCTGCCACGCACACAAGCGCAGAGACCACAATACTGCAGACACAACTATAACCACACAGACTGCCATACTACGGGCAAATAAAGACACAACCACTGAGCGCTCGCATAGGCCACGCGCAACACTACCAGACACAAACGTTATTCATGTTTGGCTACCCATTCGTGTACGTGAGTGTATATTTACGTGACATTAAATGTGGAGGGGGAGTTGTGGCACAGTGGTTAGCACGCTGGGCTACAAACCCAACGACCTGAGTTCGATTTCTGCTGATGGGCCAACACCAGTGACAATTATGTGAACCAGTGCTGGGCTTCGCCTAGGTCGCCTCGGCCTCAAATTAGTACCTGCTGCGATGTGCAGTCACCGCCATTCAGGAGACAAAGGCGTCTGGGCTTGGTGCTGGCCACACCCGCCCCCTCGCGTGCTGTACCAGCATTCATAGGTGCCACTCGCTCACGGCGCTTGCCTCAACAGTCCGTTAAGGCTACCCGGGGGGATCTTTTGTCTCGCGCGCAGTGTCTCTGGAGGGCCGTGTGGGGGACCGAGTGTTCGACGCACGCGACCTCTCGTTCACCCTGGGCGACAGCGAGGAGTTCGGGGTGGTGCCGGGCGTGGAACGCGCGCTCGAGAAGATGCTGAAGGGGGAAGTGTGCACCCTCACGCTGGCGCCCAAGTGAGTCTCACGCTCGTACACTCCCTCTCGCACAACAACAACTGGCCGCCCTTCGTCTTCTCTTTGCTGATGTTATTTACACACCGCGCCAGGTCCTTATTTTAGGCTGCACTGAACTATAGGGGCGGCATACGAAAGACAGGAGTTGTTTGGGTTTTTGGTAGGTTTAATTGTGATCGTGGATTTGGCACGGCTGTTAACGTCTGCGATGCGTGTCACAACGCGTCGCCTGCAGGTATGCGTTTGGTCAGGAGGGAAAGGCAGAGTTTGAAATCCCTCCAGACACCACCGTGGAATACAAAGTGACTCTGAAGAGCTTTGAGAAGGTACGCGCACACGTTCACTCTGCGCTGTTAACATCCTTCGCATACTAACACGCACGCTGATACACAAGATGTGCGTTCACTAGAGCGTATCACAATATAGAAACGCTACGATGTACATCCGACGATATAAGATCAACGATAATCGCATCGTCCCTGTTTTGAAATATAGTTATATCAGGATTATCGTTATTCATGAAAAAAACAATAATGAACGTTTCCAGTGATCATTAACGATATACGTGAATATCTGTTTGCACATTGAACGAGCGCTTTGTGAAATGTTTGCACTCAACGTTATGCACTCGCACTACACAGTGATCGAATGAATGAATGCGCGTGTGTCCAGGCGAAGGAGTCCTGGGAGATGGACACCAAGGAGAAGCTGGAGCAGGCCGGCCTCGTGAAGGAGAAGGGAACCCAGTACTTTAAGGTGCGACGAGTGCGAAGCCCCAAGGTGGCAGTGATGTTATCGTCCTCGCCTGGCCTGCAGGAGGCCGTGGGTTCGATCCTCACCCTGATGCCTGTATATTTGCATGTTCTCCCCGTAGTCACGTGGATTTTTTTCTCTCCGGGTCCTTCGGTTTTTCCCCTCCGCATTAGAGACATGCCTTTAAGAGTATTTGGCTGCTGTAGATTTCCACATTTGTGGCCAAGTCGCTTCTGAAAATGAACTGCATAGCTCCGTGAGCTTAACCTGGTAAAATAAAAATCGTTTAGTTTTCTTTGTGCTCATCTATTTTTAGTGATTCGCTTACCATTCCTTTACTTTGCACTCCTCTAGTGCTTTTTAAATTGTTTGTTGTAACTTTCTGACCTGCCCCTCCTGGACATCTGTGAAAAAGAGCTTTCATAGCTCGTTGTATTTCTCCAGGATAATTACAAATTCTGATTCTGAAGGAGGAAATGTACCACACTGTGGTTGTTTTCTCGGCTGTGTGTGTGTGTGCATGTGGGGAGCAGTAGTCAAGCGGTTAGCGCACTGCGCGACGAACCCAGCCACCCGAGTTCGATTCCCGCTCATGGTCAGCACCAACACCAGTAATGATTATCTGACCTGGTCCTGGGCCTCCCCCAGGTCGACTCCGCCTCAAATGAGTACCTGGTGCGATCCGTAATAAACATTGCCACTTGGGAGACAAAGGCGGCTGGGCGTGATGCTGGCTACCCATCCCTTCGTGTGCCATGGCAGCCTTCATATGTGCTCCCTGATAGCACTTGCATCAAAATTCTGTTAGGCTACACTGGGGATGTTTTCCATCTGTGCTGGTTGCTGCTACTGCTGTATTTGTTCCTGCTGCTGCTTCTGTTGCTGTACCCGGCGTTACTCCTGTTGCTCCCCTTAACTGCTGCTGCTACGACTGGCGCTACTGCTACTATTATCTGCTGCTTCTACTACTGCTACCACTACGCGCGTCTGCTGTTGCTTTCGCTGTTTTTGTTCTTACTGCTCCTCCTTGTTGCTGCTTTTACTACGATCCTACTGCTGCCGCTCTTGCAACTGCTGCTCCTACCACCTCCCACCTCTTCCGCTGCTAATGTTTGTTCCGCTGCCCGTAACCGCTCGCCCTACCGCCAACCGCATGCAGGCAGGGCGCTACAAGCAAGCGTTGGCGCAGTACAAGAAGATCGTATCGTGGCTGGAGAACGAGTACGGCCTGGAGGGCACCGACGAGACGGCCGCCAAGAGCCTCGTGCTTGCCGCGCACCTCAACCTCGCCATGTGCCACCTCAAGCTGGCCGAGAGCCAGCAGGCCCTAGAGTGCTGCGACAAGGTACAGCCCTCGCCCACGACTCGCGCACACGCACACACGCACACACACACAGACGTACGCACGCGCACGCACGGAGAGATGTACGCGCACGTAGCGATGGATATGCGCACACATAAACACAGATAGACTGCAACAGGCTAGGCATGCACTCGTGCTCTCGCACCGGTTGGCCCGGTTGTAACGTTGTGCGTCACTCGGGTTTCGCTCACAATTGCTATCGTGCTTCTGCGATTCACCTGTGGCTTTCCCCCCCTATGCCCGCCCCACGCCCCCCCGTAAGGCCCTGGAGAAGGACCCGCGAAACGAGAAGGCGCTGTACCGTCGCGGCGAGGCACACGCGGCACAGAGGGACTACGAGCTGGCGCGCGCCGACTTTGAGCGTGTGCTGGAGGTGAACCCGGCCAACGGTGCGGCGCGCGCGCACGTCGCGCAGTGCCAGCGCAGGCTGCGCGAGCAGCACGAGCGAGACAAGCGCGTCTACGCCAACATGTTCAGCAAGTTCGCGCAGCACGACGCAAAGGTGCGGTCCGGCGGCGGTGCGGTGCGGGGGGGGGGGGGGGGGGGGGGGCGTGTTGAGGTTTTCCATCGGGGGGGGGGGGGGGGGGGGGGTTTTAATCTCGCCGCCGAAATATTTTCCGGGTCGCCTGTTGGGTTCGACTGGAGTGTAGGTGGTTTCGTGATCGGTTCCGGCCACCGAGAGCGTATGTCCTGGGCGTGGCGGATTTTTTTTTTTTCCCCTGTCTTCTTGATATTGCTCACCGTCGCAAAGCTCATTCGTGCAGTTGGGGGGGGGGTGCTTCATTCGCAATGGGGGGGTGGGGGGGGGGGGGGGGGAGCCTATTTAGCTTCGGGCCATCTCGTCGTCGTACGTTCCGTCTCGTGGCCTTCGATCCGCCTCAAGCAGCGGCCTCTTCGTCAAGCCCGTCGCTGGAACAACCGGACGCATACGGAACGACAGTGCTCTGTTGCGGCTCCAGTCGTCCGGGATGAAATCTCTCGCTTTCACCCTGAACGTCGGTGTCACCCTGAATTAATGCTCTCCCGGCGCCAGCATTCTATCTGCGCTGGGTTATACATTTCAATAATGCGCGTTGTACATTATCTGCACTCGGTTAATTTTCAAAGCCATCGCGCAAGCTTTGCACCCCTGTCACAGGGAGGAAGTGGTGCGATGGCAGTGCTGGTCTTCTGCTGTCACTTTTGGTCCCGATCATGTCTCTGGTATGATCGTTCGTGCCGTGCCTCATACCCCGCTTGTGTCTCTGTCCCGTGTGCGTCATCAGCATGAGAAGAGTCCGGGCAAAGGAGACGAAGATGTCTTCAAGAAGGCGGCTCAAGAAGACTCGGAGGTGACTGCCCCTTGCAGCCTAAAGCATTAATAGTAAAACATTAAGAGCAGTGATTATAATTATCGGCCTGTGGCCAAATGACCTGGCATTGGCCAAATGACCTGGCATGCGCCCAATCTTGGCAGGTGTTGGATGCTAATTCATGGGGTTGAGTCAGGATCGTGCTGTGATGGGCAGCAAACTGTTGCACCTATGTATGTTGAACTTCTTTCGCACCGTACGTAGCCAACCATGCAAATCGGAGGTGTGGGAAATTACCTGGCATGCGCCCAATCTCGGCAGGTGTTGGATGCTAATTAGTGAGGTTGAGCCAGGATCGTGCTTGGCTGGGCAGCTTCCGTCATGCGCAGTGAAGTGTAGTGAAATAACCGCCATGGGACTCGCACGATGTCACGAGGCTTTCATCCAGCATGCGCCTCTCCACGCTTATTTGGACACTTTCTTCGTTAACTCTTCTCCATAATTTTGTTCGTTATTGTCCACGCTCTTCTGATATTAGGAAGCTACTGGAGCTATGCATTTTTAAATCTAGATTGAAAACGCTTTTCTTTAAAACTGCTTTTTGCTTTTTAGTTTGTTGTCCTTCCCCCCTGGACCTCTGATTAGCAGTTGGCTACGTACGTTGCAACACACATACATACTTATACGCTTCTGAGCCGTGTGTGTCCATGGCTGGGTAGCGCACGTTTGACAAAAAACGAAGGTAAAACGCTTTGGAAAGCTTTGCGGAATCCACGCGTGTGCACGATTCTATTCCTGTTAAAGTCGAGTGTTTGTTGCAGGATGACCACGTGGACAAAGAGGGAACGGACGAAGCTCCTGCTGCTCCCATGGAGACGGAGGCGGCGACCGCGTGAGGCGGGGGGGAGGATGGTTGCGGAAGGCCCGGTCGATTTGGGGCTTTCACCGTTGATGGCTGTTTCTTTCCCATCACCACCGTCTTGGGAGCAGCATCTTCTCTCTCTCTCTTGAAGTCCCCTCCCGCTTTTTTCCGGTTTGATTGCCATGCGATGAACACTCTTCGCAGGGCATAATATACACTTGGGCTACGCCACTTAGTGTGTTGTTGGATAAGTGTCCCCCGTCCGGTGTCTTCAGGATTGGTTTCTGTGACGTCATACTCGAGGCGGGGGTTGCCGTGGGGGGGGTCGTCCCCCTCCTCCCACCAAAAGGAATGTGTGACGTCATACTGCGTGCTCGCAGGTCTAGCGGATGTGGAAAGTTCATCGTCTCATTACAGGATGCCGATAGCAGGAAAATTGGAATATACTTTGTTAATTTAAAAAAAAGTGCAAATCGCTGCACCGCTTGGTCAAAATGATCTGATCTGGTTGTGTTAACGTTCCTAAATTAATTGGTAGTTTTTCTAAGTTTTGTTTTGATTTGTGCTTTCATTTGCTTTGTTTTTATATGGTTTTTGTGTTCGGTTTTACAACTTGGCAGCAAGATGCATCTAAAACAACACCAATCGGTCTCCATTTACCTCCCCTTTCCGATGCAACGTCGATCCACGACGATGCAGCGGCGTATTAATTGCGGCCGCCGTAAATAATTGTCAATTCACCTCAAGTTCCGGCTCGCGGCTCCAATTTGCATCGTTCCCATTCCGAGTTTTAAATCCCCCTACGTGCACCTGGCCCTACAGACGAGCACGGAGCGGCTCCCAGCATGCAGCGTGCATGTATCCTGATGGTAACCAGGGTTACTGGGTTCCTACCTCGCGAACAGAAGCAGCAAGGGGACTCAACCATGGCTGGGACGCCTCTAGAGGCCGCTATACTTATACGTCTTTAAGCAATGGTTCTCAACGTTTTTGGTACGGTGCCAACCCCCCCCCCCACCCCCCAATCAAATCCACTGATTACGATGATCCCTGTCTCCCTGGTTACTAAGGTCTCAATAAACAGACACCCCATGTCCACTCCTGCACTCAACGTATTCTTGGCAATTTTGTTTCGCGGTTTTTTGTGTTGTTGCGTGGCGCTGACATTCCCCGGACACGTTCGAAATCTCTCCAGCGCAGTGTCAATGCAACAGCCTGCGCAGCCCCTCTGAGGGTTTCATGGTGGTGCACGACCAACGGAAGGTTGAGAACCGTTGCCTTAAAAAATCATTTGGCTTTGACTTTCATTTATTTTTATTCTTTGGGTCTTTCGGCAAAGTCACGTAGATAGATTCGAAGCTTTCCTGACTGCAGGAATTACTCTTTGGTTCTTTCGGTAAAGTCACGTAGAAAATAAAATAATAGAATACGACGTTTCGGTTGCAACACTAGCAGCCATCATCAGGTAAGAATGAATGATAAAACAGATGGAAACAACAGGGGCAGACATGCAGACACTCGCTCAGTGTGTGTCTGCATGCGTCTCTGCCTATGTTGTGTCTGTTTTATTCATAACTGATGGCTGCTTGTGTTGCAACCGAAACGTCGTATTCTATTATTATTTTCTACGTGACGTTACTGAAAGAACCAAAGAGGAGTTACGTAGATAGGTTGAAAGACGAGCGATCGTCGTCAGGATCGCTTGTATTGTGATCGAAACGTCTAAGTCATAACTGGCTGTGATGTTTGCACCGTACCTTCCGATGTTGTTATTTTCGGCTCTCTGATTTTACATTAACAGGTTAAATTTCTCACACGAACATAGCCACCTCGCGCGCCGACGCGGTAGCGGCTCTGCGATCCACCGTTAACATGCTAATTTCTCACATTAACATCACTATCCCTGCCCACTTTGTTTATGACCCTTGGACTACACCCATTCTAAACCTTTAAAACAGTCTGCCTCGGCAGCTTTACTCTTTTTTCCTCCTGATGATGATCGCTTGTCGTAGCTTTTTCTTATTTTCTTTGAACCTATCTCGCGTGACTTTACTGAAAGACCCAAAGAATGTGATTCCTGCAGTCAGGAAAGCTTTAAGTCAAGATTTCATTTATTTTCTCACGCACGAAAGGCTTCAAATGTGTTATCGGTCAGAGTAGGGCACGCAGTCTGAGGATGCAACCAGAAAACAAAAGCCCATTTAACTTTGGGTTGCCTATTCTGTTATAGTGGATGGCTTTTGGCGTATTTTTCATTCCATGTAATCTGTATTTTCCCGGCACACGTGGGGTACTGTCACTAATGTAAGGCTCATTGGGGAAAGCAATACCGAAAGTTCGTGATGCATCCGTTTTTTGGAGGAATGGACTTTTGATGGCTCACGAACGAAATAAAAGCAAAGTTGGAATCGTTGTGCACTTGTACGCTCACACACGCAGGACACAGCAGGCATGCAGGTTAACACGCAATGCGAGATACAAGTGAAGAGAGTGAATGACATTCTCTGTAGGTACATATTTAAAGATTAAAATCAGTTTTCAAGGTAAATATGCGCCGAATTGTGCATATAACAATCCATTATTTTTCCAAGTCGATACAGCCGGCCACAGGAGTCGTAATTATATTTAGCATCATCCCCCCCCCCCAGGCTACAGAATGTGCCCTCTACCCACAATTCCTCACTTCTCTGCATTGTTGGTGAGTGCAGCATGGGCTAAGCCACCTGAGCCTCATTGCGTTTTCGTATAATTACAAGAAAGGCAACGGCAGAAGGCACGGATATCTTCTGTCCATGGTAATTCTAAGTACCATCGCAACATGGACCCTCATCGGCGAGTTTTAATGTGGCAACGTGGAGCTCTTGCCATCGTCGGAGGGAGGACGAGGCACTGCCACACCAGCTGGCAGGCCGATACTCGTCGGCAAAAGTTTTCCCTTGCCTGCAAGGGACATTTACGCAGGAGCATTGTACCATCACCGTAGCCATTGCAGGCAGCTATCAAGGATTCCCACGTACAGGTTGGATTTCTGGTCAAGTACATATTGGTAATTAACAACTGATTTAAAAACTCGTCCTCTACACGAGGTCAACTCTGCCTTCAAATAGATACCTGGTACATACGGTTAACATCAATACTGGGAGGAGACGGTGGTGTGCCCGTGCTGTGGGCCTTCAATAGTGGTTTCAAACATGCCCTGACATCTAACTACTTTGGTGATCTCTAAATACGTGTTCAATTTAATTACGCATGTTCATCTGCACAGCTTTTGATGTCGGGCGGCCGCGTTAAATGTTTGGGTACTCAAGTATTTTAACACATTCCTGCAGAGGGAGCTGGCAGGAACGTTGGGTTGCTTGGTCAATGGCCAGGGTCGACGGAGGCGTGGTGTATTCCGCAAATATGCCCGGCTGAGGGCGGGCACAAGCCGGCGTGAGTCGGTTAAACGTTGAGTTTTATACGGGCACCACGGGGTGACCAGCCCCTCCCCACCCAGCCCACCCTCCCCACCCAGCCCCTCCCCACCTAGTCCCTCCCCACCCTCCCCTCTCCACCCAGCCCCACCCCTCCCATTTTGGATGCACGACGGACGGACACAATCCCCTGTGGGCTGGTGTAACCAGGAGGTTCCTACCAGTAAAACTTACCGTATTCTGTGAATTATAACAATAAAACAAACATATGCCAGGTGTCAATAACGTCATTCAAAAATGGTACACACCGGATTATAAGAGATTTTTTAACTCCTGTTTTAAATTACAGGGGGAATAAGTGTCTAATCTGGGGAGTGCGGTGGGTTAATTGATGTGGACATGTGACTCGGGGTGGGAGATCACTTGGTACTGCCACTGCTTAGAACCTGGGTTCGAATCTGGGTCTCGGATAAATGTAACCAGGTTCTGACACGTGGCGAGTTGGTCAAGGCCTGTTCAAAAAGTACTGAATGAAAACTCATTCAAAACCTCCTTTTGCCAGTAACAAGATATAGTAATAGGTTTTACCCTTTTAACTGGCACAAAAAACTGACACCTTTATTCAAGGCATTATGTCTGCAATGACCACAACACAAGCAGTCAAAATGCAAACAAAAAGACAACTGATAATAATATGCACTGTCCTTGAATTTGATTGGTCCACACCTGAGACGGCTTTCTTTAGAGCCTATTACCTATTACTATATCTTGTTACTGGCAAAGGTCTCATAATGTAAATGCTCACCCTGAGCCCTCAATACTCTGATAGTGTGCTGTTTTTGAGTTGTACGCCTTTTGGCATCTTCTGGTCCAACACCAGTGGAGACTAGGCTCTAAAGAAAGCCGTCTCGGGTGTGGACCAATCAAATTCAAGGACAGTGCATATTATTATCAGAGTTGTCTTTTTGTTTGCATTTTGACTGCTTGTGTTGTGGTTATTGCAGACATGATGCCTTGAATAAAGGTGTCAGTTTTTTTGTGCCAGTTAAAAGGGTAAAACCTATTACTAAAACTCATTCAAGTTGGCTCCGAAGAGTAAACAATCTGCCCCGTAGCCGTGTGACGGATCCTGTCTCTAGCAGCGCGAGTGAGAAGGTGACACCATCATGAGGATGAGAGGCAGATTGAAGGCACCTCCAAAGTACAATTAATTCATCATCTGGAGGCCGTCCTGTAACGGGGCGTTGCACGGTTTTCCAAATAAGAGGGTGGAGCCTAAAAAGGAAAGGCGTGGAACCGGAAGAAGAAACTGGCAGGGGTGGGGCCTAACCCGGAAGGGGTGGGGCCTGATTGATGAGGGGCAGGGTCTTATGGGGGGAGGGGCCTGATCAATTAGCGATGGGCGGGGCCTGGTAAATGAGGGGTAGGGCGTAAATAGAACGGGGTCTTACGGAATTTGAACTTCCCTGTTGATTCTTGATTTGAAACTTTCGTGACTGCAGGAATCTATACTCTGGTTCTTTCGGTAAAGTCATGTAAGTATAAAATAAATCACGACGTTTCGGGCACAACACTACAACAGGTGGGAAAGCTTTTCCATTAACATCACTAGCCCCGGCCACGTGATGACGGGCGCTTGTGTTGCGACCAAAGAGTATGGTTCCCTGTTGATTCTTGACTTAGTTATTTTCGGCTCTCTGATTTTACATGAACAGGTTAAATTTCCCACACTAACACAGCCACCGAGCTCGACGTTGCTGCTCTGCGATCTCCCATTAACATGCCAATCTCTCACATTAACATAGCCACCACCGTGCCCTCGTGGATGCCGCTCTCCAATCTTCCATTAACACACTAATCTTTCTTGATTTGAAGCTTTCGTGACTGCAGGAATCCATACTCTTTGGTTCTTTTGGTAAAGTCACGTAGGTATAAAATAAAATAAATCACATTTCGGGTGCAACACAAGCGTCCATCATCAGGTGGGAAAGCGTGGTCTGCTGCTGAGGCAGACTGTTTTTAAAAAGGTTTGAAATTGGTGTTGCCCAAGGGTCATGAAGAAGTGGCCGGGGCTAGTTATGCTAATGTGAGAAATTAGCATGTAACTGTAAGATAGGAGGAGAGCGGCCTCCTCGACGAGGGCACGGAAGTGGCTATGTTACTGGTAGGAAACGTAGTGGACTGGAAGCCCAACCGGGATTAATTCACAGGAGGCAGGGGATTCATTGTGTATGTGGATGTCTGTCCACGTGGGAGGGGTGGGGCTGGGTGGAGAAGGGAGGGTAGGGAAGGGCTGGGTGGGGAGGGGCTGGGTGGGGAGGGACTGGGTGGGGCTGGGTGGGGGGTGGGAGGGGTGGGGCTAGGTAGGGTGGGGCTGGGTGGGGAGGAGCTGGTCACCCCGTGGTGCCCTTATATGGACTGGAAGCCCAACCGGGATTAATTCACAGGAGGCAGGGGATTCATTATGTATGTCTGTGGATGTCTGTCCACGTGTATCCGGACACCCGGATATATAACAAATGCGCTCCTAGTGGGCATTACTGGTAGGAAACGTAGTGGACTGGCAGCCCAATCGAGATTAATTCTCACAGGAGGCAGGGGATTAATTGTGTATGTCTGTGGATGTCTGTCCACGTGTATCCGGACATTCGGATATAAAATGGGAGGGGTGGGGCTGGGTGGAGAGGGGGAGGGTAGGGAGGGGGCTGGGTGGGGAGGGGCTGGGTGGGGAGGGGAGGATGGGGAGGGGCTGGGGTGGGAGGGTGGGGCTGGGTGGGGGGTGGGAGGGGTGGGGCTGGGTGGGGTGGGGCTGGGTGGGGAGGGGCTGGGTGGGGAGGGGCTGGGTGGGGAGGGGCTGGTCACCCCGTGGTGCCCTTATAAAACTCAACGTTTAACCTACTCACGCCGGCTTGTGCTCGCCCTTATAGTCGGGCACATTGTGCGGAATACACCACGTGGTGCCGCCGTTGACCCTGGCCATTGACCGAGCAACCCAACGTTCCTACCAGCTCCCTCCGCAGGAATGTGTTAATGTGAGAGATTAGCATGATATTATTGGTTCTTTCGGTAAAGTCACGTAGAAGGGAAACAATAAAATAATAAAAATATAAAAGAACCAAGAATATGAATCCCTGCAGTCACGAAAGCTTTAAATCAAAAGATTAGCATGATCTTCTTTGGTTCTTTCGGTAAAATCACGTAGAATGAGAATAAAATAATAAAATAACACAATAAAATTCTCATGACGTTTCGGCCCCAACGCAAGCGGCCGTCTTCAGGTGAAAGCAACAGACCTGTCGGCACGACAGAGCTTCAATGAACGATGTTAAGATTCGTAGCGACTTTTAAGCTGGTTGGGAGAAGTGAGGCACCTTGACAAAGGGGATTTGCATATCAAATAGCTGAGGGATTAGCTTGTGACTGGTCATGGAAATGGCTATGTTAAAATCAAAACCTACACATCCACAGAGGCAACTAGTAATTTAGCATTGAAATGCTAAATGCTAAATTACTAGTAGCTATTTCAATGCTAAATTACTAGTTGCCTCTGTGGATGTGTAGGTTTTGACTTTAACATGGCAATTTCCGTGACCAGTCACAAGCTAATCCCTTAGCTATTTGATATGTAAACCCCCTTTGTCAAGGTGTCTCACTTCTCCCAACCAGCTTAAAAGTCGCTACGAATCTTAACATCGTTCATTGAAGCTCTGTCGTCCCGACAGGTCTGTTGCTTTCACCTGAAGACGGCCGCTTGCGTTGTGGCCGAAACGTCGTGAGAATTTTATTGTGTTATTTTATTATTTTATTCTCATTCTACGTGACTTTACCGAAAGAACCAAAGAAGATGAATCCTTGCAGTCACGAAAGCTTTAAATCGAAAGATTGGCATGATGTTGATGCTAATTTCTTACATTAACATAACTGGCCCCGCCCACTTCGTTCATGACCCTTGGGCCACGCCCACTTTAAACTTTATAAAACAATCTGCCTCAGCAGCTTTCCCCCGCCTTTTTCTTTTTCTCCTGATGACGATCGCTTTTTGTGGCGATACGAGACGTCGTAGTTTTTTTTGTAATTTTTTTTGTTATTGTTTTTTTTTTAACCCATCTCCGTCACTTTACCGAAAGACCCAAAGAATATAAATATACAATGACGGTACTCTGTCGAGCGTTCTTCACTTGTGCCCGCAGTAGTAGTAGCACGGCTCGGCCACTCGAGGGCGCCATCTTCTCTCCCCCCCCCACCCTCTCAGCCCCCCCCCCACCCGCCCCACACAAGATGGCGGACGGCGGAGTACCGGCGGCGCTTTGGCGCGCGGCGGCGGCGACGGGAACTCCCGCGCCTCCCCCGCCGGGGACCTCGCGCCAAATCCCGCAGCCCGAGCAGGAGACGCCGAGGCTCCCGCGGAGCGCGAGGCCGAGGAGCGAGAAAGCGGCGATGGCGGTAACGGCGGACGCCGCCGCTGCCGCCGCCGCCGCCGTCGCCGCCGCCGCCGCCCACCGCCGCCGCCGCCGCCTCTGCGACCGACGGCAGCGGCGGCAGCGCCGGTGGTCGTAACGGCGGCGATGGCGATCGGACCACCAAACAATCGCTACCTTCCCTGCCTCCGCCGCCGCCCCCGCCGCCTCCGCCGCCGCCGCCGGTGAACCTGCTGGAGGCGTGCTTCGTGTGCCGCGAGAGCCTGCAGAGCCGCGAGCCCAAGCTGCTGCCGTGCCTGCACTCGTTCTGCCACGCGTGTCTCCCGCCGCCCGAGGAGAGGCGGCTCGGTGTGCCGCCGGGCCCGGGAGCGATGAACGGCGGCGAGACCCGCGTCCAGATTGCCCAAGGTGGGTGGGTGGGAAGCTCAACTTTTCAGTCGCGTAGAAAAGGCATGATCTTATTTCCATTGATTAGCTGCTGCTGTCGCCGCCGCTGCTAATCGTCATTAGCAGCGGCGGCGGCATCGCCTAAATTGAGAATGAACGTGAGCAGCACCACTATCGCCGTTATCATAACTGAACTTTTAGCAACAAAAGCAGAAGCAATACCGCGAGTAGCGTCGCTTAAATTGAACAACACCATGAACAAGAGCAGCACTCGCCGTCATCGTTCTGATCGTCACATTTAACTATACTTTTATCTTTTGATGTAAAGCTTTCGTGACTGCAGGGATTCATATTCCTGGTTCTTTCGGTAAAGTCACGTAGAAGGGAAACATTAAAATAATAAAAATATAACTTTTATCATCATCACAATCATAAATTGCAGAAATAACAGGAGCAGCGTCGCTTAAATTGAACATGAACGTGAGCAGCACCACCACCGCCATCGTTATAATCGTCACGCAACTGTAACTTTTACTCGTCATTATCACAATCATCAATAGCAGAAGCAATTCCACGAACAGCGTCGCTTAAATTGAACTCAACTTTAGCGTCATCATCAATCACGAGCATCGCCAGCATATGGCCATGAGCAGCAGCGTCAATCATATGCTCTTTGGTTCTATTCGGTAAAGTCACGTAGGTAATCATATGGTCATCATTTACATTTGACTCAACTTTTATTATATCATCACGGTCATCCGCATCACGGGCATCGGCATTTGTATTGGCACCATTATTGTGATCACCTTCATTGAACCTTCAGTTTCAGTTTTTCAGTTTATTTTGGTATAGCCCTGTGAGCCATTCGGCTCTTGAATCGGGTGCATCCACAACAAGCAAAAAAAACACGAACAAGAAAAACATCAAGTGACTATGTGACTGTGCAAACAGAAAATCCAAGAAAAAAACTGCAAAATATTCCGGAAAAAAGCACCGTACACCAAAAAATCCCAGTGGGATGCAAGTCAAACAACAACCACAAGAAAACTTAGATTAAGGCCATCAGTCTAACTCCGTACGACAACAAAACAAATATGTCCAAACCAAAAAAACTTTTCAAAATCACCAAAAATAAAGCCATGATTGCAACGTAACAGTGATCACAGGGACTGTGACCGAATTTTTACAATAAACTATATAAATAACATGTAACACCAAATCCTAGAGCCATAGCTGGCTGCATGAGTTACTCCACAACAACAGGTATCAGTCGGAGTATAAAAATTTTCAATGCACCTTTAAGATCAGCATGCTAAATCAAAATACAGATAATACTTTGCAGCGTCATCCGGAGTGAAACATTTTATTTTACGCCAATGAATAGCAGTGGCAGCTAGGGGTGTAGAACTCCTCTGGAGCAGTTTTGAGAGAAGATCTCATTGGTAGCGATTCAAGTTGCAGTTTATTGGCAATAGCATTCCAGACCTAAACATTGTCAAACGCTTCAAAATAATTAATCAGTGAGCATTACCAAATAAAGTCATGTGTATTAAAATACATAGAAAATTTTGCTGCCACGTATAATGGGTGAACCTGCGGTTGTGTGGTCATTGTAAAAAACAATTAGCATGCTCAACTTTAGTGATGCATTCCTGGGTTCAACTTTCATTTTTTTTTAAATAAATTAATTCAACGCTTTTGTTAATAACACTGCCTTAAACGCAACAAAAAAATAGAAAACCGGTAACGTTTTTGGCAATGGCCGTTTTCATAGCAGGTCGGGAGTCAGGTAGGGAAAACACAAACCTTAAAGGCCACTCGTCATGTGTGGGTGGCATTATATGAATAGCGGTAGTGATATGACAATGGGATTTCACATTTTGATGTGATGGCGCGAAGTATGCCACAGTGGTGAATATTGAGGAAAGTTCATATTAAGTTAACTACTCCATCTCTCCGAAGAGCTCTTTAATGTTTAACCCTTTAATTTTTGGTCACTTAGAGATGTCGGTGAAAGTGATTTTTGTACAATTTTTACGTTTTATGCACCAGTCGTGTTTCGTGGATAAAACCTTTTTTTAAATTAAAGAAGCACTCATCTGTAAATCTCTTGATAATCAATTTATTTTGTTCCTTGTTTATGGGGCAGTTGTGAAATAATTTGGAACGACACCATCGCTTTATTCCACAAAAGTAATGTATATGTCCGAGACACCAGCCCAGACTGACCAGCGTGATGAAGTATGTTCTAACACCCCCCCCCCCCCCCATGGCCAATTTGGTGTGGGAAGCCCTTCATCCAGCAGTGGGTTGAGAAAGGGGCTGTAAATTTATATATATTGTGTAGGATGTGTATATCGGGTATTTATTAGGAATGGCAATAGTTTAAGATTTAGATTAAATATTAGGTTATTTTAGCTTTACACGTGCCATCACTATTGCAGCTGAAATCCAGTAATCCAGTTATCCAATAACTGGCAAATCCTCGTTGCTCTTGGGTTATCGGTGGTTTACGACAATTCACGCTATCCTTGGAACACCGCGGGCGGAGTGAAAATGGTCAGCAGACCGCGGCCAACAGAAGTGGGTCAGGGCTCACGAAGAGTTGCAGTGACAGCTACAGGGAAATGCAGAGGTAAAACGTGTGTTTTTTTTACTTGGCAATTTTATTTAACAAAAAAGTTTACTTTGCAGGTTAGTTGTGCTGATGTCGTTTGTTTAGTAGAACAGGATTTTTTCTACGTTTCAGACTTGCATGTCAACTCTAAAACATTTGGGGGCGGTTTTAACGACACATTAATATTTACGCGATCTAACCCAAAAAAAAAACCTATATTATGGATTCTATTATGGATCTGAAACATTTCTTCAACATTGACCCCATTTGGCAGATTTGTACAAATTTTGGTCTTAGAAAAAATGTAACCTTATTATCCGTGCATTCAATGAATCTATTTGTCCTGTGCCGTGCTTCTCCTGAAATCTGCAAAATGTTTGCGGATTGATGGAAACGCACTGCTAGTTCATCGCATAATCAACAGCACACCGCATCTGTGTTGAAACATTCACAGATTGATTATGATTAATCTGAACCACACCTCATAGCACAAGGTGAACTGAAAGACCTTGTCAGGGATTTGGAACTACCCAAGAGTAAGGCAGAGCTGTTGGGTTTCAGACTGCAGCAATGGAATCTCCTGGAAGGTCATGTTAGGGTTTCCATGTTCCGTGACCGTCAAAAGGATCTTGTCCCATTCTTCTTCATGGAATGTGATCTTGTAGCCTGCAACAACATCGATGGTGTGATGGCAGCTCTCAACATTGTTCATGATCCAGATGAGTGGAGACTGTTCATTGATTCATCGAAGATGAGTCTTAAAGCTGTTTTGCTGTATAATGGCAATGTTTTGCCATCAATTCCAGTTGGTCATTAAATCTATATGAAGGAAACCTATGACAACATGAAATAACTTTTGAGGTGCTTAAACTGACCAACATCAGTGGCAGCTTTGTGACGATTTGAAGTTTGTTGCTCTCTTGCTTTGTCTGCAGACTGGATACACAAAGTACTGCTGTTTTTTCTGCGAATGAGATAGTCGTGCGAGAGATTACCACTACATCAATGTTAGATTGGCCACTCCGACAGTCTTTGGAGCCTGGGAGGAAAAGTGTTCAGCATCCACCACTTGTTGAATCAAGGAAGATTTTGTTACCACCCTTACCCATCAAGCTGGGTCTGATGAAGAACTTTGTCAAAGCCATTGACAAAACAAGCAGCTTTCATGTACCTCCGTGGAAAATGTCCAAGGTTAAGTGAAGCTAAGATAACGGAAGGTGTCTTTGTTGGTCCTCAGATTCGTGAATTTCTTCGAGATGATGCATTTGACAGTGCACTGCGTAGCAAGGAAAAGAGGGCATGGAAGGCCTTCCAGTTAGTGGCAACACATTTTTTTGGAAACAAGGCCGACAACTACAGGGAGTTGGTGGAAAACCTCCTCAAAGCATACAAAAGCCTTGGTTGCAACATGTCACTAAAGATACATTTTTTGCACTCTCATCTAGATTTTTTCCCACCGAACTGCGGAACAGTGAGCTACGAGCGTGGCGAGCGATGTCACCCAGGACATTGCAACAATAGAGATACGCTGTCAGGGAAAATGGAGCCCATCAATGCTTGCAGACCTTTGCTGGACAGTGACAAGAGATGCTCCATTTATTGAATGCAAGAGACAAGTCAAGAAGCGCCGAGTGGACACTGAATAAGGACTAAACTATGTACTTGTACATAATAGTTTTTGCCTTTTGTTTCATTGTAAATGTTAATTATATAACCCTTTTGCACATTTATAAAGTGTTACATGAACAGGGCAGGTGACATTATCATGTAAAGCAACCATAAACACATGAAAAGACCTAGGTTTACAATTTATGAGTAAAACTCTATCTACACAACATATATATAGACGTAAAATGTAAAAAAACTTAAATATCTTGGGAACAGTAGCCAACCAGTTGTTTTAATTAGCATTTGAACCTCAGCACATCAAAATCCATAATAAACAGCATATTTAATCTCTGAAGCAGACGACGTCTATAACAGTGTAGACAAGTGTTATAAGTCTAACCTCCGCGGTGCGCCATGCAAAACAGAATCCCCGAAATTGTCCCACCATATCAACGCCGATTATTTGATGTCTGCTGTATATAACGTATTGTTCAGGTCGTAATTGAAAACTAATTTCTTTAGAAATATTTTTTGTATTTAGTTTGTTGTCTTCCCACATCTCTGATTAGTTGGGAGAAAAAAACAAATACAGCCCTATATCACTCCACTGCTGGGTGAAGGCCCCCCCCATGCAGTGTGTGTGACGGAAAAAATGTTTACAATGTTTTTTTTACCATACTTCACCATGCTGGTCATTACAGCTTGATGTAATTGGTTCGCGTGAAGCCCTGTGGCGACTCGAGATTGCCAAATTTACAAAAAATGTTGATCAAATGAATAATTTATTGATTTTAATTTATTGTTACCTTGAAATAGAAGTGAGAGGACAGTTACTGTTGTATTTGTAAGGAACTGCAATCTCAATTTCACTAATTTCAGGTAACAATGCTACTTCATAACCCCAATTCCTTAACTGCTTTGCTCTCCCCCTCCCACATCAGGATGGTAAGAATCAATCACAGTTAACAAATGTGTCACATGATGGTGAAATTCGTCGCTACAAAACGCCGGGCAGATCCATGCTTGGTAGTTGCGCCTCTACTGTGAGCAACTGGTCTCGGCCACATTAAATAGATTTGGTTGCGTGGGGCGAAGTTAGCAGCTGATCGCCTTAAGGCTAACCTGGGCACTGTTTGGCTGTTCTGTTGTGTGTGCGTCACAGTGGTTCGTTGCCCCGTGTGTCAACAAGAGTTCCGCCTGGTGGATGTCCTCGATAACTACTTTGTGCGCGACGGCCCAGAACAGCAGCCCAGCGCGACCGAGAGCACAAGCCAGGTGAAACCTCTCCCCCCCCTCCCGCCTCCCTACCACGTTGCTGTAACAGGCTGTCGGGGCACGTGCTGTTCACGAACACCTACAGTGGCCTACACAGCACATGAGGGAGCAGTGTGGCTAGAAATGCATCCCCCGGCCACACAACGAAAACACTTTTGCCACATTCCTCGTTCGTGCTCTGCTCTGAAGGAGGACCATTGTCCGAAACGCCAGCCACACTCACTGTATAGCATTTCCGTTGTATGGAAAATTAGGCGATGGATAGATCACCATGAATGTGCCAGTTTATGAGGTGATGCTGCGATGTGGCTGTGGTGCACAACCGTACTTTACAAACCAAAAGAACTCAACACATTTGCCAGTAACACTGTGACCTTGAAGGGAAAAATATATTACAGGCGACCTTTTGGGCAATGTCCCTTATTCATACCATGTAATTGGAGAGACCAGAAAGATGGTGTGTGGTTAAGAGTTCGGAGACTGGTATCTACACCATGGGGCATGATGAAAATTACAAACATTTTCTGATATTTTCGGTTCTTTCGGTAAAGTCACGTAGATAGAAAAATAAAAATAAAGTTAATAAAAAAATCAAATAAAAATGAGTTCCTGCAGTCACGAAAGTTTTAAGTCAATATCTTCTGATAACCATACTTTTTTAAATAGGCATACGAATAGTTACCTCATAGTAGCTTTGCAGAAATCCTGAATGTGCCAGATTTCCCCAGTGGTAATGTTTACACACCACACAAGGTAATAATTTAATTCTCAGTCGACTTCAGGGAGGCCCAGGATGGGTTCAGACAATCGTCACTGATGTTGGCTGTGAGCGGGAATCGAACTCTGGTCGCCGAGGTCACAGCGCAGTGCTCTAACCACGACGCTACCACTCCCCACGCTCACACCCAGGTACACTTATCAGTCCACTGCCACCTCTTAGGATGCTGGTGAGATGTAATAATCTGCCTAGCACCTGCACAGCAAACTGATTTCATCGCTGCGTCTCCTCTGTGGGTGACCTCTCGGACAAGTTGCATTCCTTGGCTACCGCTCTGTAGTTATCATTGGTCATCAGTCCAGTTGCACCTACACTCACTTGCCCACAAATGTATACACACACGTAATATATCAGTACACATACCAGCACAACAACAACATCAACAACAGCTGCCATTCGCCACTGAGTGATGGTGACATCGCCACAGAAATTGTGCCAAGTTAGGCCGACTTTGGGGCCATGCGAAGTATGGAAGGCTCACTGGCAGGAGGTCAAAGGGACATACCCAGGTGTTATGGAGTGACTGAGAGATGACTGGCAGATGCACCACCTGTGCTGTCTCCACTTGCTGCGTTTTAGTCACCCAGAGCTCCGATAATTATTTTCAGTGTTGCTTCTCTGCCCTCTGTTGTTGTTAGAGGGGGACTGCCCCCAACTTCCCATTATCAGTAAGCAAACCTGCCTTATTTTGTCTCTTTTTCTTAAGGCGGCAACAGGCTGGCAACATCACAACACCGTACGGTGTGCCGCATTTAAAGATGCTCTCGAGCAGCAAAGGTTAATGTTATCTCTGTGTGCCTAACATATTCATGTACATGTACAACCCCATTTTATCAATCCATTACTAGTTGAGGGCCTCCTTGTGGGAGCATACGGCAGTCTAACGATGTTTTTTTCTACACCGTCCTCTGCTGTTTACAATGCCCAATATGGCCCTCACCTGGTTACATGTAAAGTTCATGTATAGAGCTTGCACACATAGTCAAGTGTGTTTAACTAAGGGTTAGCACTGTTAGCACGGATGCAATGAAGGCAACAGTCAGTTATCCCAATGCGTTTCTATGTAGGTCACTTAAACACACCTCTTTGAGTGGGTGGAATGATTAATGAATGACTAGGTGCCTTAGACAGACCATGCCCATTAGTTAGCCAGTGTGAGATGGTGAGTCAGTGAGAAAACCATTCTCCACTGAGTGAGTCAGCAAGTGAGTCATCGGGATACACATCCACCCACTGAATCATGAGGCCTAGGGTGGGGGAATCTATTGCCCACAGTTTAATTTCATACGACCCACGGGCTGCATTTACTACCTTGTGACTTAATTTTACATTTCCTGCATCTTCATTTTCATATGGCCCACAACTTTATTTTACGCGATGCGTTCATTTCATATGACACGTGACTTAAATTAATGCCGCCCAGCTCCTTCATTTCACACAGCCGTTTATTATGTCTGTGAGCAAATCCTTCTCCGCTGACTCGAGTCGGTGAGTGAGTCATAGCATTACACATTCACCCACTGGACAATTACACCGACAAGCTAGTCAGCCCATTAATCACCAACTGTCATTCTTTGCTGTAATTTGATGTTCTAAGCAGGTAGTGGCAATATGGTCGCGGTGGTTATGATGATGATGATTATGTATCATCATCAGAAATGTTCATTGCTCTGCTGGATGGCCATCGCCACCTTTTACGATCTTGTGATACAAAAAAAGAATTGGGTATTTTTAGTCCCCAATTCCACTTGTTGCTGTCAATGTCACGTCATGAGACAAAGAATCCATTCGGATCTCTCGCAGAAGCAGTGCAACCCTTCGTATTAGAGAAAGGCCCGTAGAATTGGATATTACAAAATTACTTCTGAGACCCCTTCAAATGACCTCTGGACCACACAGTAGGGGGTGGCACTTTCCCACTTGGCCTTCCATGGATAATAATGTTGATCGTATGGCAGTGAAAGCTGATATTTTTAATTCTCAGATGTTTAATTTAGCCAAATGAAGTGAAAAAGCTAATTTTAATGAGATGGCTTTTTTGTCCAGTCATTGGTGACCACGCTATGACTTTCAAGTCACTACACTCTGGATTTGAACACTGGGAACTCTGGATTTGAACACAGTAGCTCAGCTGTGTCCCATCTCAGCGCTCTGATCTCTAAGTAGCCCAGCCACCTCTGTGTCTGTTAAATTTGTTTAAACATTCTGCAGTGAAATAGAGCATGAGCCTGCTACTCATGTGCACAATTTTTTCTCATCAAATGTTTCTGCTAGATGTCACATGATCAAAGATTGCAGAGGTCCTTCCATCAGCAGTGGCTTGGGCAAGCAATTGTAGGGCTGCACTTTTACCTTGTCATGTGGTCCACAAACTCTTTGCTTCACAAGTGGCGAATCAAAACTCTGGTTTCTGGTTGTGTTAATGACTGCAGCGTTTGCAGAGAGACGAGTAGGAGATGGATGAAGATTGCATCTTCACTAACTCGGTCACTTGCAACATCCGCGGTTATTGACTTGCACAACTGCCTCGTGGGTGATGTGTGTGCGGTTAACAGTGGTGAATGTGGGCACACAAAAATAGAAATGAAACATTCAAATATTGCTCGATAGTATCCGTTATGTTAGATGTTGTATTTGTTCTCTGCAATGCGTCACCCTGCCCAGAGCAGCAGAGTAGCAATGATAGCACTTATCCCTCACAGTAAGAAGGGCCTGGACTCGATTCCCTACTCTGTGTGGAGTTTGTATGCTTTCCCCCTGTTCTGCATGGGTTTCTTCCTGAGTTCACCAGTTTCCTCCCGGCATGTAAAACAACTTAGAGTTTAACTGGTACTGGCCAAAAAGCCCAATGTTGAAATATTACCAGCGAATTACGTAATAGAGATTACACATAGCAAGCGATTACACATAGCAAGCGATTACACATCGAAACTACTAATAATAATAAACGTTAACATTGCCCCTGCAGCAACTACTGCAAAGTGTAAAAAAAATAGGTACTTGAGTTAAAATTTGACAAGCGAATTCCGTTGCATGCCTTGCAGATGGTCCCATGCCAACCACGTGACTATGCCACTGCACACTCCTCACTTTAGCTCCAAAGTGCTGGAATGTGTCTGTGTATGGCCACAGAACTGTGGCCATTTCCCCCGGTACTGATGTGGTGGTGGCCTTGCACCTTGCCAGCAGGAACCGGCAAGCTGCAAAGGGGAAGCGTGTTTTGGTCGTTGATCTAGTTCCCGATCCGTGCGTGACCTCCTTACTCACCCGCTCGTACCCAGTGCTCGCACGCGCCCTGATTGGTTGGGGGTGGGGGGGGGTTCACAATGTGCGATGGTCGCAGAGATTTCGAGGAGCGGCAATTGGGAAATCGCTAATGTTTCCTGCCGGTGATTTTGCAACAAGTTTGCCGAAGCCCTTTGTTTTTTTAATGTTTCGTTTATCTTGTTGCCTTTTTGTGTTTGTAAACATGTTTCCCTCCTGTTCGCAAAGGAACGATTTCGACACGTCTGCGTTTTGGCATTCGTTCCGAGCGCGATCCGCCAAATCCCGGTTTCGTATCGAGGTCGTTGTCTCCTGGGAGACGCTGAGCCTTTTTTCTGCTATGTGAGGTGGCCACGAGATGGCGGTACAAGTGGCTTTTAGCGACAATGGCTGTGCGGATTTCTCAGCGTTATCGCGTCGTAATGCATGGTGGGGTTTTCTCCAATTTCCTGCCGTAATAAAAAAAAGACTCCTTTGTAAAAGCATTTGACCAAACATCTCAATGTGGACTCTGAACTGAAACTATAAAAACTAAACTATAAATCATTTAAACTAAACTATTTTTTATTTTACCAGGTAAGGCCCACTGAGCTATGTAGCTCTTTTTCAGAAGCAACCTTGCCACAAATTATACATCAACGAGAAGTGGCTTATGTGGAAATTTATAGCAGCCAAATACTCTAAACGCATGATTCTAAATGTGGAGGGGAAAACCAGAGGACTCGGAGAATGCACGCGACCATGGGGAGAGAGACATGCAAACTACAAATATACAGGCATCAGGGTCGGAATCTAACCCACGACCTCCTGCATACCAGGCGAGGTAGTTAACATCTTGCTACCATGGCGCCCCAATGTAGCAATACTCTCCTGAAAAAGATTCTTGAAACTTGTTGATGCTTACTCTTTGGTTCTAGTCGGTAAAATCACGTAGGTAAAAAATAAAACAACAAAAATCACGACGTTTCGGCCACAACACAAGTGGCCTTCTTCAGGTGAAGGAACAGAACTGTTGGGACGACAGCACTTCAATGACCGCTGCTAAGATTCGCAGCGTCTTTTAAGCTCGGTGGGAGGAGCAGGGCGCCTTGACAAAGGAGTTTACATATCAAAAATAGCTGTTAAAGTGTTGAAACAGCAGGGTGTTAAAGTCAGAAAATTAGCTGGGGGATTAGCATGTTTTTGTGTAGAGGGTGCGGAGGATGGGTCACTGTGTGTGTGCAATAGAAACGGAAAAAAAATTAAAGATCGGCAAGAATGTGCTGTCAGGGGAGAGTAGAAAAAAGGGTTTAATAGAAAGTTCAGAAGGAATAAGCTTGGTATACCATTACTTGAAATTGCTGTTAGAAATTACTTGACGTTTGGTATGATTTAAAACGTCTTTCCAATGGTTGCTTAATTTGAAACCATCCTCTCGGTTGAAGTTATGTCTGTGTTTGTATATCTGAATGGCTTCGTGGACAAATCTCTGGTGATAACCTGTAGGTTTACAGAGAACCTTGGTATCGGAGAAGACAATCTCATGATTACCCATAGCGTTGTAATAATGATCAACCACAGCAGATGAATTCGTTCTGCCATGTTTTAGATCTGATTTGTGCTCGCGAATTCGGTCAGAGATATGTCGTTTCGTCTCCCCGATGTAGCAATCACCGCAGGTACAACTCAATTTGTAAACTCCGGGGTACTGTAAGTCAGGGATGACATCCTTCACGGATGGGATCAGGTCACGGATTTTGTGTACTGTATTGAACCGGACCAGGATCTTGTGTTTGTTTAGAATTTTGGAGATCTTTTTAGTAACGCCTGCTATATATGGTAGTGTGATGGTTTTGATCGGAGTATCAAGTGGTTGTTTCTGTATCGAGGGAGAAACAGCTTGGCGGATGGTACGGTCAAAGTATCCGTTTCTCTTGAGGGCCAGGTGTACATGTTTTAATTCACTGGTCAGGTGGTGTTGGTCCGAAATGCAATGAGCCCTGTGGTATAACGTTTTGATGAGAGAATTATTTTAAGCTGGGTGGTGGTGGGAATCAGGCTTCAAGTAGGAATCTGTCTAGGTGGGTTTCCTGTAGACAGAATGCCCCAATGAGCCATCAGGTCTCCTCTCAAACAGAACATCCAAGAATGGTAGCTTGCGATCTTTCTCCACTTCCATGGTGAATTTGATGGCGGGGTGTCTGGAATTGATGTGGTGTAGCAAAAGGTTCAAAGCTGGGAGGCCATGTGGCCAAATGACGAAAGTGTCATCCACATATCTCTTCCACAGGGAAGGTCTGAGGGTGGAAGTCTGGATGGCATCTGATTCAAATTTCTCCATGAAAACATTGGCTATCACTGGTGATAAGGGATAACCCATGGGGGTACCCTCATTTTGTTTGTAGAAGGTGCCATTCCAAGTAAAGTATGTATTGGTGAGGCAGTGTCTAACCAGCGCAGGTGTATCAGGGTCTTGTCTATGTTGTACCAAATTTTCAATTATTTCAATGGTATCAGGTACTGGGACCTTGGTGAACAGGGAGACCACATCGAAGCTGACAAGGATATCGTCAGGGGACAGTACAACGTCTTTGACCATAGAGACCAATTGGGCTGAGTTAAGTACTGCTGAGGAGGTCTTGCCAGTGAAAGGTAGCAAGGTATCTGACAGAAAAAGTGCTAGCTTATAGGTAGGGGGAGTTGATCGTGGATACGATGGGTCGTAGTGGAGTGCCTTCTTTATGAATCTTGGGGAGACCATAGAAGTAGGGGGTCTAGCAGCAGAAGGTTTTAGGGAGGGACGTTTAGTTGGTTCGATTAAGGAGGTCGAACTTGTGATGATCTTGTTGGTTTTCATAGTTAGGCTATTAGTAGAGTCATTTTTATTTTTTGAGTAACTTCCATCGTTGAGTAGGTTCTGGATTTTGTTGTTGTACGAATCTTTATCCATAATTACAGTAGCGTTGCCTTTGTTGGCTGAGAGGATGACTATATCACTTCTGTTTTTTAAATTCGCGAGTTCAGAGCGTTTATTTTTGCTGATGTTGCTAATGGGTTTCTTAGCATTAAGAATAGTGGCAATTTCAGCTCTCGCAACGTCTGCTTGGATGTGTCCTATGCCTTTTAGGGCTACATCGACTTGAGAGATGATATCATCTACAGGAATATGTTTCGGGGTGACAGCAAAATTTAGCCCTCTAGCCAGTACTGTTTTCAGATTGTCCGAAATCAGGGTGTTACTTTGATTAATGACGATTTTGTTAACGTCTAGTTTTGTTATATGTGGGACTGGGTTCTTCTTCGATAGGTGGTTGAATTTAGAAATCAGGTTAGCTTTGCATTTGACTGAAAGTGAATCGGCAGAAGAAGCAGTCATTTTGTCTACGTGGTTCCAATCAGAAGGTGACATTTTTTGTGTTAACGTTAAATGAGCTTGTAGGAGAGTCCTGTTTAAAGTATCGAGTTCAAAACGGAGTAGTCTTATCCTCTCTGAGATTAAAGATAGGCTGGCCTTCATCATAATCTGTTTAGAATTCGGTGAGGATACAGCAGCAGATGTGAGTGTGAAAGCGATGGGTATTACCTTGTTGTCGCGGCATCTTTTGAGGAAGGTCAGCATCTCGATGAGCTGTGACTTCTTGTCCCGTTGTCTGTTGAAAGCTCTAATAGATAGGTGAAAGCCCTCCCCGTAGAGGTTATCAATTCTAGATTTGAAGCTTTCGTGACTGCAAAGATCCTTGCAGTCACGAAAGCTTCAAATCTAGAATTGTTGATGCTTTCTTGGCGAGATGTTATCTCCCTCACCTGGTGTACAGGAGGTTGTCTGTATGATCCTGGACCCTGACAAGCCCCATGGTGGTCGCATGGATTGTTCTCCACGTACCTCCGTTTTTCCCTCCACATTTAGAAACATGCTTTCAGGTTATTTGGCTTCGAGAAATTCACACGTCTGGTTATGATATAAGCCAATTCAATGAGCAAAAATTCGTGGCCAGGTCGCCTCTGAAAAAAGGCCAATAGCTGAGTTGCCTTTACCTGGTTAAATACAATAGTAGTAGTTTTCGTAAATAAAGATAATTGTTATTTCTAGACAATGCCCATGAACATTGTGTGGATGTTGTAATGCCACTACTTTTATATTGAGTTTTCTGAATATGGCAGTGGCCCTGCTGACCAGCTTGTTTGTTGTTGTTGTGGCGGAGCAGGTGTGCACGAGCTGCGAGGATAACGCAGAGGCAGCGGGCTTCTGCGTGGAGTGCGTGGAGTGGCTGTGCCGCACGTGCGTGGAGGCGCACCAGCGTGTCAAGTTCACCAAAGACCACACCGTTCGCCTTAAGGATGACACCGCCGGTGAGGAGTTCGGGGGGCGCGGCAATGGTGGTTGTCATGGTGATGGTAGCAATGGCGTTGGTTGAACCGGGACATTTCAGTGAATTGGTGTGGGGGGTGAATCGCTGTAATCGATCCGTTCTGTTAAGAGGGCCACCAGGTGGCTGAGAGGTCAAAGTGCTGAGCTGCTACCACCTAGTTCCTGGGTTAAAATCCGGGTTTTACAGTCGCCTGTGGTTAAACCGAATTCTCATGTGGAGGGAGGTAATGGTCTCAGCCTGGTCACCAATATCTGCACAAGAATAAAAAAAAACTATCACGTACAAATTGGTTTCGCACTTATTTGGACCAAATTCAAGCCCTGGTTTCAGAGTTATAATTCTCCGGAGAATATCCGTGGCTACATAAAGAATAGCCATGTCACTGAAAGGATTTTTTTCACGCCAAGTCCTGTACAAAAATCCCTTCCGCAACCATTCTGTGACACGAGAGGTGCGCTGCTCTGTGAGGCTTCTTGAGGGTTGGTGCTCAAAATGAACCCTGGACGACGACGACGACGATGATAATAATAGCAAGAACTGAGTACATTTGGTATTCGTGCGATTCTTCTCGCACTGGGCTATCACAAAGGAAGGCGCTGTGCTCCACAGACAGTGTGCAGGATCACAGCGTGACCTTGCTGTGCATAATCCCAGTAATTTGCAGTTAATATTTCAAATTTGGACATTGATGCCGTTACACAATGGGTATATTTTTCTCGAATGACATCGCGGTACATTTGTAACGCACGCTGCGGAGCAGACAACGCGTAGTGTTTTAGAGTTCGTTACACAGGTTTAGCATTAACCGGGGTGGCCTTCCGGTTTCGAACAGCGAACCCCATTAACAAGCGGCCTAACGCACTGCCGCTGGGCCGCGTCATCACGCACCCAAATGGAAAAAATGGCGAGACCTTTACAAATGTGCGCCACGTACCCCGCCCCCCCGCCCCCCCCGTGTCACCTTCGTTATTGACCTGCGTCTACGTCTGCCTCTGCCCGACGGTTCACACCGTGCTCCCCACCCCCCGCCCCGCCCCCCTGTGTAGACGGTTTGCTGGGCCTGTCGGGCCAGCGCCCCGTGTTGTGTCCCGTGCACAAGCAGGAGCAGCTGAAGCTGTTCTGCGAGACGTGCGACCGCCTCACCTGCCGCGACTGCCAGCTGCTGGAGCACAAGGAGCACAGGTGTGTGTCGGCTGCAGCCGGCACCTGATGCTGCTGATTTATTGTTTTTATATCCGGTATTTTAGTGCGCGCTTGTGCTTGTTGTTTGTGGTCAGGTTGACTGGTGTTTTTGGTTGGGGGAAGTTGTTTAGTAGGGTTGAGCGTGATTGATTCAGTGGGCGTTATTGCTTGTACGTGTGGCTGTGAGAAAGTGTACTTTATTGTAATTAGGGTTTAAAACGCAACGAGGTAGCAGAGCAGGATCCAAGTGGTGCATGTCAGTCACCCTAACCTATAACACCTGGACCTCCCCTGTGTCCTGCCAGCATGTCTTCAACACATTTCACATGTATGGCCTGAAAGTGTACATAGTCTGGCACAAGCGACGCTCTGACGTCATTGCCACTTGGTGTTGCTAAACGATGGCTGTTGTTGCTGCGTGTGCGAGTACATGCAATATTTACACATAGGAACTTACGTGTGCGCGTGCGTGCTTTGGTTCCCGTCGCACGGCAGGTACCAGTTTCTGGAAGAAGCCTTTCAGAACCAGAAGACCATCATTGAGACCTTTATGGCCAAGCTGCAAGAGAAGAGGAATTACGTCCAAATCGCCGCCAACCAAGTGCAGAACCGGTGAGACCGGCGTGCTGCGTTATTGATTTTGTGAAAGATCCCCCGTATAGCTTGCACAAGGCCGTCAGGGCATGTGCTGTTAGCGAAACGACGTGTGAAGGCGACACTTGCACGAACGCACGTGCACGCTCAACTTTGTCACGCAGACACTCACGCACACCCATAACCGTACTCGTGTGTGTACGTGTGCTCAGGTTGAACGAGGTGCAGGAGAGCAAGAGGAAGGTGGAGCACGACATCAAGGTGGCGATCTACACGCTCATGAACGAGATCAACAAGAAGGGCAAGGCCCTACTGCAGCAGCTCGAGGTGGAGTAGCAGCAGGCGCAGCCAACTTCTCTACACACCGTCACACTCCTCCACGCGGCATCACGCGCCTCCGCACGCCTCCGCATGCCTCCGCATGCCTCCACAATGAACCGGTCGAATGGCTGATCCTCCCTTAGTTGCACTCAACTTTAAATGAGTGCCTGGTGTTGTGTGTGAAAATCAGCACTTGCCTCATGTGCCGTGTCGGCCTTCATAGGTGCATCCTATAACAGCACTTACCCCAAAAGTCTGTTAAATTGTTTACAGGGTATCTTTGTGTTTTATGTACATGTAGTGTGTGTGTGTTTTATGTACATGTAGTGTAGTGTGTGTGTACTGTCTGTGTGTACTTTGTGTAAATGTACTCTCTGTGTGTACTTTGTGTAAATGTACTGTGTGTGTGTGTGTACTGTGTGTAAATGTACTGTGTGAGTGTGTGTACTGTGTGTGTGTATTGTGTGTGTGTGTGTAAATGTACTGTGTGTGTGTATTGTGTGTGTGTGTAAATGTACTGTGTGTGTGTATTGAGTGTAGGCCCTGACGGGGGAGCGGCAGTCTCGGCTGCAGGCGCAGCACGGGGAGGTGATGCTCCTGTCCCGCCAGGTCGACCACGTCATGAACTTCGCGCGCTGGGCCCTGACGGCGCACAGCAACTTCGCTCTGCTCTACAGCAAGAGACTGGTGCGATGCCGCCACCATCACCGGCGTCACCGAGATCATCATCATCAGCATCTTCGTCGTCACAGTCGACGTTAATATCCTCATCATCAACATCAGCTTTTTTGGCACTACCATCGACATCGTTATTGTCACCATCGCAACCGACGCTCGACGATGTCCACTTGCAGAGAGATGGAGCGATGCTACCAGCCCGTGTGCAGGAAGAGCCAGATGATTGTTCCGTGCGATAGCGTGAGAAGTGGTGACGGCCGGGGGGGGGGGGGGGGAGGCCTTCATCCAGCAGCGAATAGATCATGGACGTTGCTGATGATGTTGATGTGGTTATCGTTAACATCACCAGTGTCTTTCGAAGCAATGATGGCCGGCGGTCAAACACTAATCTCACTTCCTGGATTCTCAATTGAGACCCGTGAATGTTGTACGTGATGTGATGTTTGGCATATTCCGAAATGAAATGAAATGTGCGTCCTGTGCTCAATTTGCTTGTAAGAGCTTCCAAAACTCGCACTTGTGGCGGTTCCGGGTTGGAGCATCTGGTTTCCCGAAGGCCTGACGAGTGGTGGCCGTCATCTGTTTCGCACAGATCTTCTTCCAGCTGCGCCGCGTGCTGCGAGCACCCTGCGACCCCACGCCGGCGCTGAGCGGCGGCGTCGTCAGGTTTTACTGTGACCCCAACTTCTGGGCACGCAACGTCCTCAACCTGGGTGCGTGAGCCTGCCGCACCACTGCTGCTGCACCACTGCTGCTGCCGCACCACTGCTGCTGCACCACTGCTGCTGCTGCACCACTGCTGCTGCACCACTGCTGCTGTCCACTGCTATTTCCCACTGCTGCCGCACTGCCACTGCCCAGCACTGCTGCTGCCAAGCACTACTGCCCAGCACTACTGCCCACTGCTACTACCCACTGCTACTACCCACTGCTTCTGCCCACTGCTGCTACCCAGCACTACTGCCCAGCACTACTGCCCAGCACTACTGCCCAGCACTACTGCCCAGCACTACTGCCCAGCACTACTGCCCAGCACTACTGCCCAGCACTACTGCCCAGCACTACTGCCCAGCACTACTGCCCAGCACTACTGCCCAGCACTACTGCCCAGCACTACTGCCCACTGCTACTACCCACTGCTGCTGCCCACTGCTGCTACCCACTGCTGCTGCGTTCTGCTTCGCAATGCAGCTGCACACTGCTGATAAGGATATACGTGGGGAATTTTGCCTTTTTTATACATATATGCGTGTAAATGTGTGCGGGTGTATATGTGCGTGCCACAGGAACACTGGTGATGGAGAACCCTGTGACTGGGCCCGGAAGGGATGCAACCCAATCTTACATGACCAATCAGAGTGCGGGGAGCATGGCTCCACCCACGGCAGAGGGTGGAGCCGGCAGTGGCGGTGGGGGCAGTTGCGGCACAGCAGGGTGAGTTGGGGTGACCGTTGGCAGAGCCCTGTGGCCATCACTCTAAAAATGCGCCCCATCTCAGAGTCTATGCGGGATTATGTCTTGTCCTTCTGCATGGTAGACTGTCTAAGCATTACTGGCTGTTGTAGGCTTGGGATGCAAGGCAGTCCTGCAATGGTTTCTTGAAACCATTTGTGCGGAGATTTGAGTGTCACCCCCTCGTGTGCGTGTTGGGTTATCTCCCGCACGAATCCAAACTCATTCATGGAATTTGCTGAACAACCCAATATAGCTGCACCCTTATCAAAAGAGTCTTCACACTCTACGAATATTCCTGGATAAAGATTTTTTGTTATTAAGCTATGGTTAGCATCATCGTCATGATGTCATGCAGATGTTGATAATGTTCATAATGCTTTGCGGGCAGGTTTGATGATAGTTGATATACGGATTGCTACGGTGCTGACGATGGTAACGTTGCTGATGATATTGATGGCACTGGTGAAGATGTTAATAACGATGGTGGTAATTATGATAATGATGGTAGTGATTGTGCTGATGGTAATGGTGATAGAGATAAAGACTGACACTGGTGTTGATGACAATGGCTGTAACATATATGGTTGTGGCGTTGTTGATGTTGATGATAGAGATGATGATGATAATGATGACAATTTTTGATTTAAAGCTTTCGTGACTGCAGGGATTCATATTCTTGGTGCTTTCGGTAAAGTCACGTAGAAGGGAAACAATAAAATAATAAAAATATAGAACAATAAAATTATCACGACGTTTTGACTGCAACACAAGCAATCATCATCAGGTGTGAAAACCACAGCAAGAAAATTTGAAAAAAGTGGCGATTTTTTTACGTTAGCACACACGAAGAGCGATTTGGCAGTTATTCAGATGGACGAGTCCATCTATGTTCGGAAAAGAGGAGGGGGGAGACGAAAATAATGGATGCGGTCTGAAAACCACCGTAAGCGTGAACAATCAATTAAGACCCAAAATGGTTTATCAAATCCTTCCAATTTCGGGTCTTAATTGATTGTTCACGCTTACGGTGGCTTTCAGACAGCATCCATTATTTTCGTCTCCCCCCTCTTTTCCGAACATAGATGGACTCGTCCATCTGAATAACTGCCAAATCGCTCTCCGTGGTGCTAACGTAAAAAAATCGCCACTTTTTCAAATTTTCTTGCTGTGGTTTTCACATCTGATGATGATTTCTTGTGTTGCAGTCGAAACGTCGTGAGAATTTTATTGTTTTATATTTTTATTATTTTCTTGTTTCCCTTCTACGTGATTTTACCGAAAGAACCAAGAATATAATATAATGACGACAATGTTGGTGGTAGGGACTGATGCTGATTGTAGTGATGATATTGACATCGATGATGATAACGATGGGAATGGTGACTGACACTGGTAGCGTTGATGGTACTGATGATTATGCTGTCAGTGATATCGATACAGACGACAACACTGATGATTGCCACAGCAGTGGAAAGCCATTGCCGACATGGTTAATTCTAGTATTGATGACATCGACAAAGATGATGATGGCGATGATGCCTTTAACAATGACGATGGTAGTGGGGTGATGTCAGATGGTGGCAGTCGTGTGATGGTAGTGATGATGGTGGTGATGTTGTTTGTCAGGCCAAATCAACCTGGCGCAGCTGCGCCTGCAGCACATGCAGCACCGCCTGAGCCGCCTGGCCGCCTCCATCAGGCAGCCGTCCTCCCAGCATGCACCGCAACGACCGCTCACCTCCGTTCACATGGTCAACCAACAGCCAATCATCCTGCAATATCATAGTGCACAGGTAACCCACACAGCACATGAATGACGCTTATTATTTATAATAGCAAAAATAGTTCTAGCATGCTATTGAGATTATCAGACCCACTTTCCCCCTCCACCCCTGTTTTTTGAAGCAGAAGTTGGGGGATGCGTCTTCTAATCGGGGCGAAAACATTCGTCTTCCAGAAGACGAATGGTATAACGTAGACGGTTCCTCCGTAGCGGTCCATGACCACGCAGAGGGCAGAAGACGGCATCACCGGCCGTTCGGAATTCAACGTCCACAGAGCGTCCGTCTCCCCCATTGCAAAGCAGCGCGGTCACAACCGCCTTCTGGAAGACTGCTGTCCTTATTAGGATGGTAGTCTCTTGATTATATAAAGAGCTTTCTTCAAAATGACCCAAAAGTTTGGGGTGCACCTTATTTTCCAAAGTGTCGGATAATCCAGAGACTGTGTGGTAGTTAGCATCCTCGAGTGTTGACAGTTCCTATTTCTTAATAATATATCCGGGGAATTGTATTAAAGCACCGTATTCATAATCGGGGCATGAGTTGGAAACACCCCGTTAAGTCGTGTCAATTCAGCTCATTTTAAATCATCCCATCATGTGCCTTATCATCCTAAAAATATTATTTCTTGCAACGTTTGCCCCAGCAGTCTTTTAAAGGCTACACAAGAGATATTTCCGTTTGTATATGTACGTTCGTCTGCATCTGTGGGCGTGTCTGTTTATATTTAGTGAGGAGTGGTACTGTCGCCGTTAGCGTGCTGCACTATGAACCTGGTGATCGAGTTCGATTCCTGCTCACAGCCAACACCAGTGATTATCTGAACGGGTTCTGGCTTCCCCTATTGGACTCAACCTAAAATGAGTACCTGGTGCGGTGTGCAAACATTGCCACTTGGGAGACAAAGCGGGCCAGACGTGGTGCTAGCCACCCACCCCCTCCTGTGCTATTCTGGCCTTCATAAGTGCTCACTAACAGCACTTGCCCCAACAATATCTTAAGGCTATATGGAGGATCTTTGTCTATATGTGTTTCATAGGTCCTCACTAACAGTACCTGTCCCAGTAGTCTGCTAAAGACTTTCGGTGGGGTGGGGGATCTTTGTCTTTTATATAACTGTGGTACCCCTGTGTCTCCCTACCCACCACACAGCCCCCCAGGCTGGTCACCCTGCCCCCCAGTTCACGGGGGCCCCCCTGCGGACCCCTACCTAACCCGCTGCAGCAGCTGCAGCAGTTCTCCACGGGATCCATTCCCGGAGGGTCAGCGCCACCCCACTCCAGCCAGCAAGGGGTACCCCCCCAACTCATGCGGCAGGTGAGACATGGTTGGGGGACACGGGGGGTTGGGGGGGTTGGAGGGTGGGGGGGGAGGGTCCACCTCACGACAGCCAACTGGTGGGGAGCGGGGACATTTACGTGTGGTTACGTGCGTGTGGTTTTGTGTGTGTGTGTGGTGTTGTGGTTAGCATGCTGCGCTATGAACCCGGCTACCTGAGATCGATTCCCATTCACAGGCTTCCACAGTGAGGATTATTTGAATTAATACCTAGTGCTTTGCGTAAACATCGCCACTGGGGAGACACCCACCACCCCCCCCCCCCCCCCCCGTACCAGCCTTCATAGGTGCTTGCTAACAGCACTTGCCCCAACATTCTGTTCAGGCTCTACGGGGGATCTTTATCTTTGTTTGTGCTCCTTTTGCAGCACTCTGCGGGGGTTGGGGGACCTGGACCCACAGGTGGTTCCCACCTCTCCATGGGTGTCTCATCAATCCCGTCCGTCACTAACCCCGAAAACCTACCCACGGTACCCGACATCCCTCCCATACAGGTGAGCTCGTGGGCACCTGTCGACACACACACTAAATACAGCTTCTCCGTGAGTAGCCTTGACCAGAGTGTTGGCAGGAGCTGCTAACGAGCACTTATTAAAAGCCGGCTCGGCACTCAATGGGGGGGGAGGGGGGTGTGGTTAGCATCATGCTCAGCCAACTATGTCTCCCCAGTGTCGATGTTTTTACACACTGCGTTATTGTTTCTCTTTTAATGCTGAGTCAACCTAGCAGAAGCCCAGGACCGGTTCATTTATCCCTCACTTCGCCGTAACTAAGACTCGAACTCGGGTGACTGGCTTTGTAGCACGGACGCGCTGGTAGCCACCAAACCGCCGCTCCCTCCCTCACCATATATACATATTACTCGAGATGAGTTTTTGACTCAAATAGTTATTGACTGTGTGTGTGTTTGTGTGTGAAGCGAGATTGGTTAATCACTTCCCCCCCCCCCCCACACTCTATCCTCTCACAGCTGGACGAGTTTGGCGGCATGCTGCTGCTGCGAGACGGGCCCCCCCCCGTCCACCTGTCCCACGGCGCCACGGCCGCCCCCCCCCGCCCACCTCTCCTCCCCGGGGTCAAGCTCGCAGTCGCCCCATCCTCCGTCGGTGCAGTCGCCCAACCTGGGTGCATTGCACCTGCACGGTAATTTTGAACCGCGGTCGTGCCGGGGTGGCGCAGCGGCGGCAAGGTGGGGCGCAGTGGGAACATTGGTGCCTCACAGCGGTGAAGGGACCTGGGTTCGACTCCAGACTCGGGCACCTCTGCGTGGAGTTTGTATGTTCTCCCCCTGTTCTCGGTGACCCGAGTTCAATTCACGCTCACAGCCACCAACACCAGTGAAGATTATCTTAACCGGTCCTGGGCCTCCCCTAAATCGGCTCGGCCTCAAATCAGCACCTGGTCCGGTGTGTAAACTTCGCCACTAGGGAGACAAAGGTGGCCGGGCGCGGTGCTGGTCACCCACCCCCTCGTGCGCCGTGCCAGCCTTAATAGGTGATGGCTAACTGCACTTGCCCTCAGTCTGTTAAGGCAATACGGGGGGGGGGTCTTTGTTTGTCTGTGCCAACACAGGGGCCGTCAACTCGACGTCTCACATGGCTCCCGTTCGACCCTCAAGCGCCTCCAGTAACGGCAGCCGAGCCAGGTACCATCACTCACCCCCTCGGGCTATCACTGCTGCTCGTCGTCCTCCTCCTCGCACTGCTTGTGTGTGTGTGTGCCAGATGTGCTCATGCCTGTGCTTGTATTCCTGTGCGTGCGCGTGTATTTTTGCGTGCCTCCGTGAGTGTGCGCGTATTTGTACATGTGTTCCTGTGTAATCCAGCAGTGAATGTTGACTAAGGGTGGAACATTATTATTATTGCTCTTGGTGTTACATCGCGCCCGAAAATGCGCCGAGCGCTGCTCAATTCTGCAGCCTGTGCACGACACATCTGTTTCCGCTTGCCCTCCCAATAAAATAAAACATTTAAGAAGAAGAAAAAATCCAGTTTCTTTTATTCATTATTTCTTTTATTTACTACTTACTTTTCTTATGCTATTTGTTGCACACGGTTACACTTTATTTTGCTCGGTCGGTGTCAGCCACTGAGGTTGTCACAGAGTTTATTTTCTCTTTCCTGTTACTGTACACCCTCCTGTACCGTTCCCGTCCCGTTGTATTGTGCACCGATGCACTACTTTATTGAGGGCGATCTTGGTACGTAAAATACATATTGATTGATTTACTCAACGTTCTTCTATGCTGCAAATCCAAGACTGACAATTCCTAATGTATGTTCAAGCTTGGCACGCCAAGCCGCTTCGCCACCCTCGTACAGCCCAACAGAAACCAAAACAATTCCCCGCGCAACGCCAGTCACGTCGTAGGGAGGCCTTCATCCAGCAGTGACTTGATGAAGGTGCCTCCCAGATTTAATTGCTTTTTAAAATAAATATTAATATGTTAACGAGCGATTATTTTTGCGTGTCCAACAGTGCCATGGGCGATCCACTGGATCACATTTCCATCGTGAAGGTGGAGCAGGTCTACGTGAAGCAGGAGCCCGGCACCACAGCCAGCCACGGCAACGCCTGCCGCCACTCTTCCCCACCGCCGCCACCCCCGCCGCCGCAGCAGCAGTCGCACAGCAGCGGCAGAAGCAGAACTGCAGGTGGCACGACAAAAACGATAACCACCAAAGTGCGCATCAAGCCGGAAGGCAGCACGCCCAGCAAGCGGCGCTCCTGCATGGTGAGGCTGGCTGGGGGGGAGCGGTGCGTGTCGCGGTTGCCAAAGCGAACGGTGCCGTGTGGCGCTCGTGTGTGTGTGTGTGTATATATTTTTTTATCCGGCCGGGTGGTTCAAAAGGTCAAGAGCGCTGAGCGTGGCACTTTCAGTGGCAGCATGAATCAGTGCTGCTGCATAATGTCCCAACCATGGGTCACTTGAAGGGATCAAAGAGATGGCTCTATGATGTCCACTTGTGCAGACGGTTCTCTACCGCAAAGGGTTGCACTGCTTTGTGTACTTTCCAAATGTATTGTTTATCTCTGGAATCTTTGTTTCTTCTTGCATGCGTGAACCCGACACTCACCGCGTGTGTTCCCCTGCGTTTGTGTTTGGTTTTATGCTTCCCCCTACGCGGCGATGGTGGAAGCTCGGTTCTCGCGGGTCAAGCCTCACACCCCCGACCTCTAACCCCGGCTCGGCTGAGGGGGCTGGGGGAGTGACGAGCAGCAGCACAGGAAGAGGGGGAACAGGTGGGAGCCGCTCGCTTACACTTTCTCGTCCCAATTGGTTTCGTTCATTAAATTATACTCAGTTTTGAAGGTCGGTGGGATGGTAACAACGTAAGCTTCCTTACAAACCTCTTAAACCTGCTCACACAGCAAACATATATAAAATACATTTATTGAAAATTCTGTCCTTGAGCACAATGGCAATATGTTTTGTGCGTGGCAAGGCGGCGGGGGCGAGGCAAATGCCTCGGCGGACGACGACGACCCGAACGAGGACTGGTGCGGTGTGTGTCAGAACGGAGGAGACCTCCTCTGCTGCGAGCGGTGCCCCAAGGTCTTCCACCTGAGCTGCCACGTGCCGGCCCTGCTCTCGTTCCCCACGTGAGTGGGCTGGCGGTCTGGTTTGGGCGGGCGGGTTCGGCTTGGCAGATTTGGGTGGGTTTGGGCGGGTGGGTTCGGGCCGGGCGTGTTTTGGTGGGTTCTGGGCGGGTTTGGGCGGGCAGGCACGGCCAGGGGCGAGAGGGTGAGCAGGGGGGGCGGGTCGGTGAGAGGGCAGGTGAGCGAAGAGGGCGGGTGAGCGAGTGATCGGGTGTGTGAGCGAGCAAATTAATATGTACTCCCATGTGCTCGCTTTTGTGTCTCCATTGCTGGTGTTTACACACGTGTTCACGGTTGTCCGCTTCGGTCTAGAAACTGTGTGTTGTCATTATTATGATATTGCTGCTCTTGTTAATGAATGTTATCTCTGCTCCCCCGCTGCTCACCGCTGCTCCCTGCTCAGCGGGGAATGGCTGTGTGCTTTCTGCCGGAGCGTGGGGAATCCAGAGATGGAGTACGACAGCGAGGATCAGCAGCATGGGCTGGACGGGAAGCGCAAGACCCCCCTGCTGCTCTCTCCGGGGCTCTCGGGGCCCGACCAGCGTGTACGCACGCAACAAAGATCACCCGTATAACCTTAACTGACTTTTGTGGCAAGTGCTGTTGGCGAGCGCCTTTTGTGAAGGCCGGCCACGGCACACGAGAGATTCGGTGGTCAGCACCTTGCCTGGCCGCCTTTGTCTCCATAGTGGCGATGTTTACATATTGCACCAGGTACTCTTTTGAGGCTGAGTTGACCTAGGGGAGGCCCAGGACCCATTTCGATATTCGTCACTGGTGTCGGCTGTGAGTGGAAGTCGAACTCGGGTTACCAAATTCGTAGCGCAGCGTGCTAACCGCTGTACTAACACTCCCACTACACTAACACATGTACAATGACCTTTGACGGTCTGTTGAAGAAAGTGCTATTAGAGAGAGCACCTGGTGAAGGCCGGCACAGAACACCAAGGGGGGTGGGTGGCCATCTACATGTGATCACAAGCACGCATGGTCACACAGATGCCAAGGCACAGGCACGTGATCAAGGACACGCTCAAGCTTTACATCCGAAGTCACGGGTGAAGCGTTTCAGTGCAACTGTATACCCACGTGTGTGTTTTTTTGAATTTACGCTGGCCTGTGTATCCGTGTCTGTGCGTGTGCTTGTGTGCAGAAATGTGAGCGGCTGCTTTTGCACCTGTTCTGCCACGAGCTGAGTGCGGCATTTCACGAGCCCGTCAGCCACTCGGTACACAGCCCGATACACTCACCCTGCATGTGTGTGTGTGTGCGCACCATAAGTTGAGGGCAGAGCTCCTATCCTGTTTACAGCCCTAGACCAGTGGTGGAAATTCCACATTCCTCAGGGATTGTGAGTCTACCTGCCATGCCCCCCCCGCCCATCCTCCTCAACCATGATATGTACACAGTTGCTCGTGTAAACGCGGTGTAGACACGGACGTGTGTGTGTGTACATGCGTCTGTGTGTGTGTTTGCGTGCGTGCGCGTGTTTGCGCGCGTACGTGTTTACATGGGCGCGTGTTTACGTACATGCGTGTGTGTTTATGTGCGTGCACGCTCTCCAGGTGCCCAGCTACTACAAGACGATCCGCAAGCCCATGGACCTGTCGACCATCAAGCTGAAGCTGCAGAAGAAGCACATGGATCACTACCACACTCCCGCCGAGTTCGTGAGCGACGTGCGGCTCATCTTCAAGAACTGCGCCAAGTTCAACGAGGTGACTGGTCTCTGGCGCTTTCGCCGTTGTCACGTTCATCGCAGGAGCAGTCCTCGTCGTCGTTTGCGCAATCGTCACAATCAGTGATCGTTGCCATCATCACCGCCTTGTTAATCTTCTTTGACGCCCATTGCGCCAGGAACTGGAACCCCCGCCCCCACACTCCAGTAAAGCAAAAAGATTTCCCCTTTCTGTACCCTGTTAACCAAAACCATCCCCCTCCCAATGCCCAAGTAACCAGAACCATCCCTTCCCCCCATACCCTATTAACCAGAACCGTTCCTTCCCCCCTATGCCCTATTAATCATAATCCTGTCTGCGTACACCTCCCCCCCTCCCCCCCGCGTGTGTCTCTGTTGTGCGCGCAGCCTGACTCGGAGGTGGGCCGTGCGGGCCTGTCCGTCCTGTCCTTCTTCGAGGAGACGCTCTCCCGGCTTTACCCGCAGCTGTGCGTGCCCAACACGCCGGCGTCCGTGTTCGGCACAGACGGCCCTCCCACCTCTTCGGCGTCATCGTCGGCGTTAACGACGACGGCGGCGCCACCGTCGCCGCCGCTGCCGCCGTCGTTGCTGTGGCTGTCGTCGTCCCCGCCGCCGCCGCTGCCGCTGCCACCCACGCCTCTTCGCTCGGCCTCGTCCTCTTCCTCGTCGCCTCCGCGGCCGTCGTCTGTCCCGTCGCCGAACCCGGCCAGCGCCGCCTCCTCAGTGCCGACCTTCACCGCCGCCGTCCCCCCCGGTGGAGGAGGACCGGGAGGGAAGAAGAAGGGCGGAAGACGGAAGCTGAACAACAATGACGATGACTATCATGACGACGGGGAAATCGAGACGTCTGACGAGGACTTTGAGCCTCGGCGGAAGAAGCGTGCTGGGCGCGGGGATGAGAAGCCGGTTCACATCAGGTGATGGAGGAGCGCGGTTTGACTCGGGGTCCGCTGAGTGGCCTGGGGGGCCGGGGTGGGGGGAGGGCACGCCGTGTGTGTGAGCATGCATGGGGTGATGTCAGCTCTTCATTGTGATCCAGCCGGCGGAGCCATAAGAGATTCATTGGCTCGATAGTAGATTGATTCACGTGGGGAATCGGTGTTGAGTCGCATTAAGATTGAGTTCGATAGGGGTACGTGTGTAGATTTGCTTTGTTATTGTTTGTATCATTACCACCGGCGCTCCAGTTTTGACACGATCTGTATTCAAGGGGGGAAAAAATGCAACATGACCATGAAGTGAGTAATTTTAGTAAATACTGTTACAGTCTAATGCTGCCACGTGGGGGTAGGCATTAACTAAAGCCTTGCATTTTAACTGCAATGTTACTTTTAACTCAGCCAATCAACCCTCTGGGGGTCGATAAAATATGTCCCGCTTTGTGGGGGAAGTGAAAAGTGGTTGTCCAATGAATAGCCTTGCTCCCCCACCATAGGAATGTGGAATTCTCAGCCACGTCTCAGGGCTGAACACTGGAGATTTAAACAAAAACCTTGGTCTTACTCGCCTGCGAAAGTATCTCACTGAGAGTCATTGAAAAAAATGTATTCTTTCAGAAACATAATAAAACGGTACTTGCTTCATTTTAATGGACCAGGAAGAAAGTTCACTGTTAATCACGATGTTCACGGGAACAGGTTTAACGATATACGTGGTTACGTGGGTGTTGTTTGACCATGCTTCACCTCTCTGGTTGGTACGGGTCGGTGAGGGGCTGGGATCATAGAGTTCAACATTTCCCTCTGCTGCCTAGCACGTGGCCCCACGGCCTATAACGCCTGTTTTGCACCGCGGTGCACTATCCAGTCTCGGCCCTGAATAAGCGTCTTGAGATCTGACGAAATGGGCCACACATTCCAGGTGACTTGGTCACAGGCTAAGGCCTACTCCTGTAAATGATCAGCGCGTTTGTGACCCGATGCCTGGAGACTCAATCCAGTGCACCATTTAAACAATTACAGCGGCACGTCACTGACATCCCTTGCACATGGTCGATGTGTGTGACGTGAAAGTGGGTTCAGATTCATGTAGGGTTTGAAACTGAAAGGTTTTTTTTTTCCCCCCCCCACAAATAATTAAACTAGTCCCACATTCTGTTGGTGCTATTTCGTTTTTCTTTAGTTCGTGTTTAAAATTTTAAATGAACATTCGATTAGATATTTTTACCAAAATTGACGTTTTTGTCGCAATATATTTTTTATTTTATTGATAACGTTTCTTCAGGTTAACTAGCCTAATTAAATGTATATTTTTTTATCAATGAACCATTGTATTTTACTCTACCAGATAAAAATCATCATTTATGTTCAGTTTTAAATACATTTATTTTGACGTATATTTATTATTTACAAAACATACTTTTAAACGCTACCGTTAAAATTGTGACCTTGATTTTACGTTTAGATTTTTACTATCTTCTATAATTTTTTTATGTTTAGGATGTCTATATAAAAAAAGGTAATATAATCGCCATTCATTTGTAATTCATTATTTTGTGTATTTTTCTTTTGTAAAATTTTATCAAGTTTCTATTTAATGTTCCCAAAATTTACTCACTCATTTAGCGAAATTTAAATGTTACCGCTGTTCACGATATGTGCGGACCGAGCGATTTTTTTTAATTTTTTTTTTAGTGTCGCAGTGAGTAGACCGCAGCACTGTGAACCCAGCGACCAGAGTTCAGCCGCCAGCCACGGCTAACATCAGTGGGCGAGTGATATCTGAAGCATTCCGGGGCTCGCCTTTCACCAGCCAAGGACTGCCAAGTGCGGTGTGGTCAAACAACCCCTAGTATGGTCAAACAAACCCCTATGGACACAGTGCGGAATTCATCCAGCAGTGAATCTGCAAAGAAATGAACACGATTATTAAATTTACATCGTTGTGAAATGTTATCGTTGTAAATCCAAAAACTGCCATCTCCCACGTTCAACTAGTGTATCATCACACTCGGCATGCGAATCTGCTTGGTGACCTAGTACAGCCAAAACATATTTTGCACAACTCGACACCATCGTTGCACAGCCAATCGCAGCCCATCCGAGAATGTCACCCTCCCGAGGCTCATAGTGGTGCGCCTCTACACCTTACTGAAGCGGAGTGGTTGTAAAACCGTATTTATCCAAAGCAGCTTTCTAACTGGGTCCCGAGCAGGGTTCGCAACACCACTCTTCATCCAGCAGCGGGTGGAGAATGATTGCCCGCTATGACGAGCAAGCGACGCTCACCGGCGGAACGAGACTTTCTCGCAAGCGACCGGTTGTGATTCGGACGTAACGACGAGTCTGTTTCCGGCGGCAGTGGCGGCAGCGTAAATTCCACATTCCTTTGGCAGGAGACAAATTTGTCTGCATGACGACCGCCTCTGACATCTCGCAAAGCGATACACGTGTTATCGGCCCTGGAAGGACCGCGTTGGTAATAATGACGATGTCAGTACTTTGATGTTACCGGTGACCGGGAATTGAATCCCACTGTATATATTTGTGTTTACTTGTGAATACCGTGGGTTTCAATCCAAACAAACAAAACGCTTATGACGGAACGATACCTGTTTCACGTTGAACCAGAAACGGTCAATGTTCCGACCAAGAGGCCTTGCTCAAAAGGGCTCGCATCATCACCAGGACCCAAAGCCTTCTCCTGCTCAGCGAAGATTTAAACAAACAACACTTGTGGAACCCATTGCCGGTCCCTCTGCGATGACGCAAATGTCGATAGACCTTGGTGAACGATTGTGTCGTGGCCGAACGGATATTTAAAATGCACCAGCGGCAGATTCCACTGATCTTTACGGAGAAAGATAGATCGTGTATGTGTGCATGTGCGAACGGTGTATATTTATGTATATATTAGGGATGTATTCCTCATTTGATGATCCTGGACATTGAGAGTTTTGGATCCGTAAAAAAAAGGAAATCTGATCGTTGCAAAAATGTAATGTCACATAAAAGTGACTTCATTTGTGTTACGAAGTGATGTCACTTCCATGCTTTTCCTGCCAAAAGTGCCAGCGTTTAGACGCTAGAAGATGTGACTTGTGGGTAAATTATTTAAATATAACAAATTTTAATTCAAGTTTTTGCTTTACTGTTGGAATTTTACGTAAAAAAATACTAATGTTTAAACTTATTAAAGAGGACTTCATTTTGTGCATAAACAATAAAAGTTATTCAAGTGGAATAATGTTCTATTATACGACAATATGAAATAAAATATGCAAATTGCCCCTAATCCAAAAATCATATCAAAGAACGTGTAATGAAAAGCTCATCCCTAATATATGTATGTATGCACATGGCAGCTGCAGTGCATTGTTGGTTGTTGGTAGAGATTCTGCATCTGTTGCGTGACTTCCAGTGGATTTTAAACGAGCATTTTATTTGGATTTGTAAAATCTTTTTTATATATATAAACCACCATTCAGTGGGATTGGCCAATGTGACGGGGGTTCTGCATCTTACGCAGTGATGGGGTTTCTGCATCTTACGCAGTGATGGGGTTTCTGTATCGGATGGAGCCAGGGTTTTATTGAACGTCAAGGGTTTCGTATGGACATTAAACGAGGATAGTTCGCCGCCGTGACCAGTAATGCACAACCAGATTTCCATATCTGGTTTACTTTCCTTCCGTTGAGCCAACAGATAGCGGATGTATCACTGTAGCTGTTTCGTGTATGTACATATATACTGAATTCTTCGAATTATAATGCACATTCCCCCCCCCACACCATCCAATATTTTGAAGCCAAAGTTGCGGGGGTGCATCTTGCAATTAGGGGAATTCATGTCTTGTGCAATCCACATGTTGTAACACAGCCGTTCAGAATAATTTTCTGGAAAGCAGTTCCTCCGTAGCGGTCCGTGATATACAGGGAGACAGCTCTCCACGGCACACAGCAGATAGCGCCACTCGGCAACTCATCGCAGTGCCTCGCGCCCGCATCCTCTCCTTCACTCGAGCGAATGCGTTATTGACGGGAGACGTTTCGGGTCCGTTGGGGGCGGGGGGGGGTCCGCTTTGGAAAGTTGCCGCCGCATCCAATCGCAATTGGTGCTGTGGCTGACGGTGGGCGGTCATCGGATCGTGTTAGCGGGGCGGTGAGACGACCAAGCGATTGCGAGTTTGTTGCCTGTCACAGAGATTCGCGGTTCTTACCCCCCCCCCCCCCCCGGCCGTCCTGGTTAACACTGCTGCTGTTCTCACTGTGAAATATTTGCTGCCTGCTTCACGGGGGAAGTTAAAGACGTTTGAAAAAAAAGGGGGAGGCCTTGTGTGCCAGTGGTAATGAACCAAATGTGAAAAGATGACTTAAATATCTGAATTGAGTAAACCAGCCGTAACATTCACCCCCCCCCCCCTATTGACAGACGAATGCCCACTTTCAATCCGGTGCTGTGTTCACCTTGTGCCACACAGGATAAGCTACCATCAGGGGGTCTCTTAAAGACGTTTGTTCCCTTATGGGCACAATTTAAATGCAAGTTGGTATTGTGTTGATGGGCGCGACATAGCCATGAGCAGAGAAACGGGACGAATAGGATCAGGGTTAGTGGCAAGAGTTTGGGCCAGGTACACTCATTGGTTGTAGCGGTATTCTTCACGGCCGTTTGACTGCCGTGACTGAACCAATAATACTGGATATCCCAAGCACCATCCCGAGCCAGCCACCACGCTAAGGCTTTCCGAGGTGACCAGCTCACCCTCGTTCAGATACATGCTGGTCTTGCCTGATGATAGCTGAACCGTTCGGCGCACGGCGCAGAGAGCATGGTTACTTTGAATCGGAGCTCCCTTTGTCACGTAGTAGAACAACAACAACGGCTGCCATTCGACGCGAGGCGGCGGTGACCACACCGCAGCACTTGCATCAGGCTCGGTGCACATCGCACCCAAACCAGTGTCTTATCAGTTTGGATCCGCATTACCATTTGGGACACACAAGATCCTTTAATTGAATCGGCGCTCTACTATATGGAGGACACAGACATAGTGGTGGTAATGGAGAAAGGAGGTGGTGGTGGCCGAGGAAGTGATAGTGGTGAAATAAGAGGTGGAGGGGAAGGAGGTGGTGGGGTTCAGGCCAGCTTGAGTAGTCTGTCGATGTTGTTGCCATTGCTGTGGTATTTTGACACTGAAGAACTGTGAATGTCTTTGCTCAACGTCACAATAATCCCTTGTTTTATAAGTGCGTGTATCCTGGTCTGTGTGGACACGTGTGTAAGGGCACGTCTATCTGTGTGTGTTTACCTGTTTGTATCCGAGTGTGAGTACTTCACCTCGGTGTGCGTGTACAAATATGCGTGTGTGTTGTGTTTTGACGTGTAGCTATGTGGCATTCTATTCCATTTGTAATTGTGGTGCACTGGCCCAAGCCCTATCGTTTAACTCCACCACGTGACCGTGAATTTCGGTTGCTGTCATGAATATCAATGGGGGGGAAGAACAACCACATCACCCCATGATGGTCTATGTAGACATCACATCCGTGAGTTTGTGGGTTTTAATTAATCCATTGCGCCCTTTTAATAAGCAGCAACCCCGCTCCATTCAACACTAAAGACTCTTCGCAAGCAACCTGCAAGCCCAGGGACGGAGGGAGAACCCCTCCCAGTCTTTCAATTGACTTTTGGTTTGCACGCGGAAAGTCGCTGCAGATTTCACCTGTGCGCTGTAAATATGCTACCGCGATGACGTCACTGGAGCGCTCCGACTGGGCGCTCCAGAAAGTCGCTTGGAAAGTGATTCGTTTTGTCAACAGAGGTTGAAATTCATTTTGGGGAGAGCCCCCCCACCCCCCCACTGATTCGGACACGGCCATTGTTGTCCGAGTCGTCGTCGGGGCTGGCAGTGATTTTATGGGGAGAGAAGGAAATTACAGAGGAGCAAAAACGAAGTATATAAAATGTCGACCAATACCGCGTAGAGGTAGGCTGCGTAGGAGTCTGTAATAAGGCAGATTTGGCGAACATTGTGGATTATTAACGAGCCAACGTTAGAAATATTTTTTACTGTCGAGGTGCGTGCGTGCTTAGCCGGTGTTACGAGTGGCATCCACCTAATGTACACGAATGGGCAATGAGTAAAGAAACGATGAGTGACGTGGCTTAGGAATACATGTAACCTTTCCATGCCTCCTGGTTAAAACGACACGAATCGTAATGTAAATAAATAAACGGCAAGTTTGAAAGTGATTTTTTTAACTGCTCCGTGTTTTGGCGCAAAAGTACATTGCCGGCAAATTTTGGGCAGAATTTTTGTACCAAATTTGCGGTAAATTGCAGCACTTTTTCGCCAAACTTAACCCTTGTGTTGTTGCGGCCAGCTTGTAGCGTCCCACAGCTAGACAAAGCCTCCCCATTCCCCAAGTTGCTCCCATCCTGAGGTCATTTTCAGAGCTGTCACGTTAATTCCAGCGAATGAGCCTTTTGGCAAAAAGTTGAATTTTTTTCTATATTTTGAAGCTTTCGTGACTGCAAGGATTCATACTCTTTGGTTCTATTCGGTAAAGTCACGTAGGTAAAACAAATTAAAATAAATTGAAATAAAATGAAAGAAACAATTAAAACACGTCGTTTCGGAGGCAAAGCAAGCTTCCGTCTTCAGGTGGGACCAGTCAGCAAAATCGCTGCACCAAGTGAGCGATTTTGCTGTTACTGGTCCCACCTGAAGACGAAAGCTTGCTTTGCCTCCGAAACGTCGTGTTTTAATTGTTTCTTTCATTTTATTTCAATTTATTAGAATTGTTTTATTTAAAAAAGTAAGCATTTTCAAAACGTTAATTGGAGAGTTTTCTCGGTGATTGTATGTACTGTATGTTGAACTTATTTTGCGCCGTACGTTAGCCAGCCGTGCCGTGCTGAATCGGATGTTCTAATAGTTTCTACACCAAATAGAGAATACTTGTTTTTCCATCAATGTATGAATAAATTTGCATTTTGTAAGATGTACATAACTGTTACGGAGGAATATTGGGGGTGGTACTTCGCATCTCCGTTTGTTGTGGCTGGGCCTCAGTCGCTATGTAAGGTAGCCACTGTTGACTTCCTCCAAAGTGGTGCCTATTTTTTATCAGAATCATATTTATACTGGAGGAATCCGATGAGCTATAAAGCTATTTCTCACATGTCCAGTAGGGGAGGCTAAGAACGTTACAACAGCAATACAAAACACGATCGTCCAAATTTTCGATTTAAAGCTTTCGTGACTGCAGCGATTCATATTGGTTCTTTCGGTAAAGTCACGTAGAAGGGAAATAATAAAAATAAAACCGCCACTTTTTTCAAAATGTTCTTGCTGTGGTTTTCACACCTGATGATGATTGCTTGTGTTGCAATCGAAACGTCATAAGAATTTTGTTTTATTTTTATTATTTTATCATTTCCCTGATACGTGACTTTACCGAAAGAACCCAGAATACGATCGTCCAAAGTCTAAGAAAGGTAAACAAATCACCCAAACACATACAAATAAAACCTAAACCATGCCAATCCTACCAGGCAAAGCTCACCAAAATATTAACTTATTTTTCATAAGCGACCTGGCCACGAATGATCGCTCAACAAAGTGGCCCCATCATTTGGACATTTTTATAGCGGCTGAAAATTATCTAAATAACCTTAATGCAATCCTTCTAGAGGGGATGTTGAACTGTAAAATTACGCTCCAGTTCTTATGAATGTTTTTGCAAAGCGTGAACCCTTGACTCGAGTAAAAGTCGTTTTGGGAACTTATCTTCGTAAAAAAATTGCTTGTAAATGTAAACACCTTTGAGTCTCGTTATTCTTCCTAGATTCACTGTCGAGTTACTTTTTATCGTTAATGTTTTTCTGTTTTATACGGTATTGCAAGTTCGTCTAAATGGTTATGCTCTTCTCAAAGTGTTGGGATTGATTTGAGCGTTGAGCCTTTCAGAAAACGAGAAAAATAAAACAATCTCAAGCGTTTTTAAGTGAACTAGAAAAATAATGTCTTAATACAAGGCCCCAAAAAAATACTCAATGTTACTTTGTGCTTTGTAAGTTCACAGTTCAAGTTAATAAAGCAAATGGAAAAGAACACAACACCGATTCTCTTCATCACCTAAAGAATTGCCTTATGGTTTATTCGTATCAAAAGCAGATGTTTTTGATATCCGAGTTATCATCATCACGTTTAGTCCGGTCATCCTCGCAGCGGCATTTGGCAAACTATCGAACAAAAAGGGTCACCGCATCACGTGCTTTTAGATGCGCTTCTGCGGCCGTCTGGAACGCTGTTCCGCTATTAGAAAGCCACTGGAGCAATGCTTTTAAATATAAATTGAAAGCGCATTTCTTTCAAACTGCTTTTTGTGTTTAGTTTGTTGTCCTTTCCTCGCGCCTCCGATTAGCACGGTTGGCTGCGTACAGTGTAAAA